GCTTGGCCTTGTCACACAGATAGGCCTGGCCAAGTCCCAAAGGTTCAGCAAGGGCAGGCCAGCAGCTTGGGGCTGTTGGGGGCGGGGTGGGTCAGCGGATCATTTCCCTGCATTGTGATCAGAGTGGGGGATAGGGGCACTGGGGGCAGGCAGTGCCCTGTGCATGGGTGACTGTCCTTTTGTCCATCCACAGCATGTGTGTGAACTGACCCAGGCATTGTGCTGAAGCAAAACTGACTCCTTACCCATGTTTGGCCAATAATCTTTTTTTTTTTTCCTAGTGGAAAAGCAGGATGTTGCCCACACAAGTTACCCTAACAACGTCCCTGTCAAGCAGTGATGAGGATGATGGTGCAGGAGAAGGCGGGGCAGGGCAGGGCAACAGATGTTGCCCTTGTGAAAATCACCAGGGAGGGAGTGACTCCTGGGGACCTCTCCTGGAAGGAGAACATTTCCGGGCTGGCAGAAGGAAGAGAACCCTGGAGGTGGGGTAGGAGCCAGGCCCCAGCTTTAGACAGGCTGGTTGCTAGCCAGCTCCTGCCTGTTCCCAGTCTCAGCTAGCCAATCCGAATAATGGGGAAGGTAATGGGGGCTGGGGGGCAATGCCCCGGTGGGGCACGGCCCAGGCCTGGGGGTCAGGAACTCATCCTGTGAAAATCCCGAGGATGATGGGCCTGTGGCTGCTGGAACATCCTTCTGTCTGGCTGGATCCGTGTGCAGCTGCTGCAGGCCAGCCGCTTACTACCCTCAGAGCAGCAGAGCGGGAACCTCACTTCCCCCGGAGACCAGCCTGCAAGGATGGCATGGAAGCTGGGCTTTTGATCATAAAGAACGAATCATGCGACAATTCAGAGGGTCATCCTCCCACCTAGAGAAGGCCACTATTTATAGAGCTCAGGGTTTATTCTCCAGATATATTTGCTCTGTTCCATTTTGTTTAAAAAAAAAAAAGGGTGGGGGAGAGAACAGGGAGGAGAATCTAAATGACTGTTGCTGCTGCTGCTGCTGCTGCTGTGTCAGGAATGTGCAGGCAGCAGCCGGGGCCCCACATGGACCTGCTGAGATGCAGTATCTGGGACCCGCCCAAGACTTGTTGGCCATCGTCACCTGCTCTGACCACGGACCAGGAACTCCACAACAGCCTTGTGCACATCAAGCATGGAAAAGTGTCACTGTATCAGGAGACTCGGAGGGCAGATCTTGTGTCACAGCAAGTGAAGCTGCTGCTTGAGTTGCTAGCATCCCATAGTGGGAAGCAGTTAACGAGGTTCGCCCAAGTGCTTGGGCCCCTGCCACCCATATGGAGGACCTGGATGAAATTCCTGGCTCCTGGCCCAGCCCTGGATATTGCTGGTGTCTTGAGAGTGAGCCAGCAGGTGGGAACATTGTCTGGGCATCATCCCAGCCTGGTTACCACCATGCTGATGGATTCACTTGCACCATCTCCCACATCCCAGAAAGGAGAGGTCTTGTCCACTGATGAATGAGGAAGCTGAGGCATGGGGAAGTTAAGGACACGCCTGAGGTCACAGTGCCTAGAATGGATGGACTTCTATCCTACGCTCCCCTGGCTCTGCTGGCTCTGGGAACCTACGTGTCCCAGGTGTGTACAGGTGGAGTGCAGCTGCAAACCACCCACCCAAGAGACGGCTTCAGTCTGATGGGTGCAGACGGTGTGGCTGTACCCAGGAACAAGGGAGAAAGTCTGTACCCACAAGGCAGTCTTGTCCAGTGGGGATGGCCCATGGAGAGGCCAGGGAATCTGTCCTGGGTCACCCTGGTGGAGGGGGGTGTGCAGCAGCACCCTTCTGCTCCCACCTCTGTCTCCCCTCACCCACTTATTTCTAGGAAGAGGCACAGGCAACAGACAGCAGAGAGACCACGTGATACACAAGGCTCACATCTTTCTCTGCCTCATTCCTGACTTGGAGCTGTCGCTGAGCCCAGTCTCTTGCTGTGGAGGTGGGATGCGGAGTTCTGAGCTAGCTGCCCCCCTTTCTGGGGTGCTGCGCAGGTGTCTCTGAGGGATTTGCCTGTCCAGAGGGATGGCTGGACACACAAGTCAAGGAGGCAAGAGCTTCAGGACAACTCAGCAACTGCTTTAGGCCATGAAGGGGCACCTGCTGTTACTGAAGAAAGAAGTAATTTGAGGTGGGGAGGTGGTGGTTGACAAGATAAGGATGTCTCATAGTCAAGAATGTCTTGGAAAATAGTGACCACGGGGTCTGGTATGGTAGCCTGGTGGCTAAAGTCCTCACTCTGCATGTGTCAGGATCCTGGGCACCAGTCTGTATCCCGGTTGCTCCACTTTCCTTCCAGCTCCCTGCTTGTGGCTTGGGAAAGCAGTCAAGGACGTCCCTAAGCATTAGGGCCCCGCACTCACGTGGGAGACCTGGAAGAAGTTTCTGGCTCCAGGCTTCAGAAGGGTACAGCTCCAGCCGTTGCAGCTGCTTGGAGAGTGAATCAATGGACGGAAGATCTTCTCTGTCTCTCCTCCTCTTGTATATTTGCCTTTCTAATCAAAATAAATCTTTAAAATAAATAAATAAATGAAGCTTAGAAAGAGAAACTGCACAGATGCCAGTGTAAAACTGGAACACAATGCAAGACTTGAATAAATGGAGACCTTGACCTTATTTTTCAAAAATATTTATTCATTTAGGTGAAAATCAGAATTACAGAGGAGAGAGCTCTTTCCTTCACTGTTCCACTCTCTCAATGGCAGCAGCAGCCAGAGCTGAGCTGATCTGAGGCTAGGAGCTTCCTCTGTGTCTCCCACATGGGGGCACAGTTGCAGAATGTTCCATCTGCTGGTTCCCTTCCCCAAACGGCTGCAACAGTCAGGGCTAGCCAGAGCAGTGAAGAGCCTGATATCCATCCGGGTCTTCCACACTGGGGCAGGACCAAGCGCTTAGGTCATCTTCTGCATTCTCAGATGTACTGGCAGGGGGCTGAATCAGAAGTGGGGCAACTGGAACTAGAGCCGGTATGCCGTGTAGGATGTGGCTGTGCAGGCAGCTGCGGAATGCACTGCATCGATGGCCAGCCCCAACATTTCACAATCAAGTGGCATCTCAAATCTGAGGCAAGAAAGAGGCCTGGAGGAGCCTGGATGGGTTAGACTTGATTTGGAATGTCCAAAGATGGGGGAGGCGAGGCCCTTGGCCTGAGCGAGGCTGGCAGCAATGAGTCCCAACAGTGTGTTGGGGTGGGGGAGAGGCGTTCCCACTCCTTGTGTGGTCTACAGATCCCTCCCCTCAGTCCCCAAGGCAGAGCAGGGTCCTTCACAAGATAGAAGTCTGTGCACTCCCTCCCTGTCAGCAAACCCATCACAGCCGAATAGAGAAAAGGGGAGAGCCTCCCAGGAGGCCCCCACACGTGGGGAATTATTTTCCCAATGAGAGAGCACTGCCCGTTCGTCTCCTCTTGTGCTTCACCAGCCTTCAAAAACCTAATTTCTGACGGCCGTGTGCTATTATTCCTTAAGAGGCAGACATCGTGATGTATTTGAGCTGTCTTCTGAACTTGATCAATTTCCAGGCAGCTATTTTAAACAACCATTCTGTGCGGACACCTGCTGGCTTTTCAGTCTCATCTTGGTCATTTTCTCAGGCTGGAGCCATTCCTGCAAGTGGCTTCCAGGTTAAAGGGCAGGACATACTCAGGAGCCTTCATAGAAATTTTGCAAAAATGCTTGCCAGAGACAGAGAAGACAGCCCAGGAAGCTGGCAGCGGCTTCTCCTCTCTCACCAGCACCCAGCATTATTTTTAGTGTTTTCACTTCGGCAATTTGCTAAGCTTGTTTTGTGCCAGGTGCCAGCACGCCAGGCATTATGTAATGAAATCCTCACTTCCCACCCCACCCCCAGCCCCGGGAGGGGGCACCCACTTTACAGCCTTCATAGGACTCTTGGGGTGGGGAGTGGGGTCACCTCGTCAGAAGGCGAAGGACCCCGGATGGTTTTAACCCCAGTCGCATTCAGCTGGCACTGGGCACATCCCGGTGGCACCCTGGGCGGTGTGCAACCATTGCACCCTGGCCCTCCCTTTCTGCGTGCGTCTCGGTTCCCACCAGAGTGGAAGGTCTCATCCGGGGATCTGATGCTGTCACACTCTTCCCTAGAGGAGATACAGGTCAGGTGCAAAGCTCCCACCCTCCGGGATACCTTCCCGCCCACAGACGCCAACATCCCCTGCGGCTCCAGGGCACCCTCGCGCGCTCCCACTACTCTGCGCCAGGTCCGCGCTTCTCTAGTCTCAGCTCTGACTGCGAGGCCAGGCTGCGTTAGGCACCTGAGCGGCCACCAGGGATGCTGCATAGGGCCCCGCGCGGCACGTGACTGCGGTGATTTGTGCGCGCCGCCCGCCCGCCTGCATCAAAGCGCACGGCCCGCGGCGGGTCTGCGCGTCCCCGCACGCACACAGCCTGGCCGCCCCAAGGAGCGCAACGCCCTCGGCTGTAGGAGCCCTGGTGGACAGCGTGGGGGTGGCGGGAGGCAAACAAGCGATTGTCAGGGTGCCGGATGTGCGGGGCGGGGGAGGTGGTAAGCAGAAGCGGGGTGAGGGAATAAAGAGTTGAATTCACTCTTCTTCGCGCCCCCCGAGCTACGTCTAAGGACCCCCCTCATCCTGTTCAGGACAAAGCCAAACCTCTGCGCGGGGGAGCTTGGGTCCCCGAATGTGCCCCGGGGTTGGAGCGGCAGAAGGGCCGCAGAGGGGTCGGTCGGAGGAGACAGTTCCTCTTAGAAGCCCTCTGCGATGTCCACGCGGTGACAGAGGGACCGTGGGCCCTGAGCAGCCCCATCCCGATGCGGAGGATGCGAAACGCAGGGCCCGCGCCCACCTAGGCCCCTAGCACCCTGAATCCGCCCCCGCAAGGATCAGGTGCAACTGGATCCGGGAGCGCAGCGGTTCGTACCACGGGGCCTCCACTCCCCTAGAGGGCGCTGTCCCGCCCGGGCCGCGGCTGGGCCTTCCGGACGTCTTAGGCCGGACCGCGTCTCTGGGCGCCCCGGAGCCTGCGAGCGGGAGCCTGGGGATCCCGCGCGTGGCCTGCGCTTCCCGTGGGGCGACGTGGTGGCTGAGGGCTGCGATTCCGCGCAGGGAAACGAGGTGCGGGGAGTCCTGGACGGAGGGGCGGGGTCGGCAGGATTAGCGGGAGCCTGCATGGGGGTGGGGCACCGTGTCTGCCGAGGAAGGGACGGGAGGACGCGGGGAGGTGGGTTTGGGTGGAGGAAAGCCAACGTCTTCCGGGGTTCCTGGACGTTGGGGGACCGGGAGCGGCTGTTCCTGAGAGGCGCAGGCCCAGGGAGCGCCTGGAGGCGGTGGGAAGCGGGTGGGAGTGGGGAGGGGACGCGCTGGGCGCAGAGCAGGGCTGCAGGGGGGTGGGAAGGTGTGTTGGGGTTGGCGGGCCAGGGGCGGAGCTGGGGTCTGGGGGTGGAGCTGTAGTTGACCTGAAGCGGCTGCTGGCGGGACTGGAGGTGGGCTGGAAGGTAGAGGGGCTTCTCTCTGGAGAAGGAGGCTCTGCTGGAAGGACGTGGGGAGGGCTGGAAACCGCACTGACCGGTGGCGGAATTCCTCACCTGACTTCCCTCTCTTTCTTCCCTCCTTCCGGCAGCCACCATGTACAACCCGCAGCTCCAGCAGCAGCAGTTGCAGCAGCAACAATTGCTGCAGATCCAGCAGCTGCTGCAGCAGTCCCCCCCTCAGGCCCCCTTGCCCATGGCCGTTGGCCGGTGAGTCTCCTGCTGGGGGCAGCGGACGGCTGTGCAGCTCCCCTCATGTCTTGGTGGGGTCCCCCAGCCCAGTGCTTTCTATCTGTGCTCAATTCCCACTTTCGAGGTGGGAGGGCCCTTCTTCCTTTTGATGTAGTGGGAAGCAGAATGGAGGCGTGAGGCTTGGGAAGGGGTGGTGGTAGGCGGTGTACCACCCTGAACACGCCCGATCTCGTCTGATCTGGGAAGGGGTGGTGGGTCTCTTCCCGAGACTCACCCCCACTCCTCCGGACACGCAGGGGCCTCCCCCAGGCGCAGCCCGCGCAGCCGCAGTTTATGGGTCTCCAGGGCAACGGCTCTGCCTCCCTCCTCAGCGGTCCCCTGCTACAGAGGGCTTTGCTACTGCAGCAGCTGCAAGGTATGCGGGGAAGACCCCACCCCGGGCTGTTATGGGGTGCCCCAACCCCACTGCAAGCAGGAAGCATCATCCGATCCTCGCCAGGGGCCCTGCAGGGGTGGTGGTGTGCCTACCAGGATATTCAACCCAGGAGGCCTGATTGAGCTGGCGTCTGTCTCTCTGCTGAGGTGTGCCCTGGCTGCAATACTTCTCGGCTTGCCTCACTCCTGTTCAGATTCCATGTCCTTTGACAGACAGGCAGGAAGCCTGGGGAGGGACTGGGCCACACAGCAGCAGTGGAGGAGGGGCCAGCCCCGGACCTGCCTCTCCTGGCCACGTGACTCTGCTGTGCATTGAGTGTGGGCCCTGGCCTCAGTTTCCCGCGTGGAGAGTGGTCTCTCCCTTCCTCCTCCCAAGATGCTGCACCTGACTGCCAGTACCCTCTCCGGGGAGATAAACTCCCACCTGACAATTGGAGAGACCTGGAGCCAGCCAGGGGTCAGGGGCTCATGGTCAGTCAGGACTTAGGAGTGGATTAGGCCTGCGGGGGTGGGGCTTGCCCTGGCTGCAGACTTGAAAGGGACAGTAGATGGTCAGGGAGATGAAGTGACAGTAGGTGGGTCTGTACTTGTATCCAAAAGTCACATTCTCTAAAGTGTAAGGGATACTTTGTAAGAGGCGGCTAGGAGGAACAGTTACTGCCTTGGGAATCCCTGCTGCCCAGCCCAGACTCCTCCCTTCTGCCACGCTGGGCCTGGGAGTGGAGTGTGGACCCTGTAGGTGCTGTAATGCCGTGCTACTCTTCGCTTTTCCCATGAAACTTGAACATCTGTCAAGGTGGTTTCATTTGATTGATTTATTCAGTTTTTAAGAGTTACCTCACTGGTCTGAAAGGCAGAGTTAGCATCGGGGAGACACACATTTCCCGTCCGCTGCTTCATTCTCCAATGGCTGGGGCTGGGCCAGACTGAAGCCAGGAACCAGGGGCGTCCTCTGGGTCTCCCACATGGGCTCAAGCATCTGGTCATCCTCCATGTGTCATGCTTTCCCAGACACATTAGCAGGGAGCTGGGTCAGAAGTGGAGTAGCTGGGATTTGAACCAGTGCCCATGTGGGATGCAGTGTCATAGGTGGAAGCTTTGTGCTATGCCATGAGGTCAGCCCCAGGGTTATCTTCAATAGCTCTTCTTTGCTTCATGGGGGGTTGTGTCCTTACTTGACTAAGCCTTCTCAGTGTTCAGCTGTTTCTTTCCTTTCTTTCCCTCCTCTCCTTCCTCTTTTTATTATTAATTTACTGGTTTAAGTAACATTGAATGCCTGTGATACTTCTTAGAATGACTCCAGTAGTAGAATGGCTGACTGGGGTGAAGGGGAGAGATGGCTGTTTGTGACTCTTGATACATGTTGCCCAATTGCTTTCCTGAAGGACTGGACCAGCTTGCAATGCCAGCAACCACATACGACAGCACCTGTCTCACCATGCCCACGGCAGCACTGGGTATATGCACTTTTCTAAAATTCTATGTGTGTATCTGTGTGCAGCTTACTAAGTTTTTGGCGAAAAGTCATCGGAATGTCTGTTTTAATTTCCATCTTTGGAGTGCAGGAGCAGTTGAGCCTTTCCTCTGTATTTCTGTTTGTGACTGGTCCATGTCCTTGTCCCCTGCAACCCCTCCTTTTTTTTTTTTTTTTTTTTTGAGTGCCTTTCATGTTTTGCTTTTAGGGATTGCTACCTGTCAGAAGGTCACAGCCTTCTATTGCACAGTCTAGATTTGATCCCAACTCTTACAACCAGCCACATGCCCTATTTAGCACCTGTGTTCCTATCCCAGCTCTGGGGGCAAGAGTCCCAATTGCCCTTCATGCCCCAAAAGCCTCCTGGGATGTGGAACTTTGGCAGAGGAGTTGTAGCAGCCAGGTCTGAAGACAAGGAGGCTGAAGCCCAGGGGACAGAGACCGGGGTGTGAGAAGGCCCCTTGGATGGGAGATTCCCCTGGAAGGGAAGGCTGAAGGATTCCTGGGAATCAGCGAGGCAGAATGGCCCTAGTCCCAGACGGGGCTCACGCGGAAGGGGTGCCTGGAATGGAGTAGGCGCCTGTGTGGGGGGAGCAACTAGACTGAGGTGGGAGCAGGGCCAGGCTTGGCACAGTCTCAGCAGTGCGGAGCTGGGGGAGCGCTGTTGCTGAGACACCAGGGAGAGGAAGGGTAGCTTTGGGGCAGGTGGGGGAGGAGGGGACGCCCAGGAGTTGGAGTTGGCTGGGCATCCCAAAGCCGGACAAGGGGAGGGTGGGGCTTGAAATGTGGCCCCGCCCCCAACAGCAGCAGAGATCAGCCATAGAGCCCCATCCCTATGTGCCCCAGGGGGGGTGCTCCATGTTCCCATGATGCACTGGGGCCATGACTGAGTGTCATTCCTGTTCTCCCCACCTCTCGCCTCCAGGCAACCTGCGTGGATACGGAGGTGTGACCACCTCGAACCTGGGAGCCTCCAGCCTCTCACCCACACAGCTGGCCACCCCAAACCTGCAGCAGTTCTTCCCCCAAGCCACACGCCAGTCTCTGCTGGGGCCCCCTCCCGTCGGGCTCCCCATGAACACTTCTCAACTCAGCCTCTCAGGACGGACCCCCCAGAAGCAAGCCCGGACCCCCTTCTCCACTACTCCCAGTCGTAAGGTGAGTGGTGACTGGGGAAGAGTGGGGAGGATGGGAGAGGAGCCACCCTGCTCCCTGCCAGGTCAAGCCACACACCCTTCTTGTACCTGAGTTTCCTCAACTGTAAAATGAGGAGGCATCTCCCTGTCCCTCTGGGGAGCCCTTGCCCAGGAACCAGCAGTACTGTTAGGTAATTAATATTTCTCTTTAAGTCAGCGCTGCCCGGCAGAAGTAACACATGAACCATAGATGTACCTAAAATTCTTCTGGAAGTCACATGAAAAAGCAAAAAAAAAAAAAACAGGTGAAATTTACTAATGCAAGGGTCTTGGAAAGATCATTTCAGCCTATGAGCCATAGACAACACAGACAAGGGTTGGTTTATTTTCGAAGATTTTTTTTAGAGTGTATTTTTTTTTGAGATTTACTTATTTTTTTAGAGCTTGGAACTGTGGCCTAGCGGCTAAAGTCCTCACCTTCCAGGCGCTGGGATCCCATATGGACACTGGTTCTAATCCAGGCAGTCCCGCTTCCCATCCAGCTCCCTGCTTGTGGCCTGGGAAAGCAGTCGAGGATGGCCCAAAGCCTTGGGACCCTGCACCCGCGTGGATGACCTGGAGCAACTTCCTGGCTCCTGGCTTCAGATTGGCTCAGCTCCAGCCGTGTGGTCTCTTGGGGAGTGAATCATCGGATGGAAGATCTTCCTCTCTGTCTTTCCTCTTCCCTGTATATCTGACTTTGCAATAAAAATAAAAATCTTTAAAAAAATTTATTTTTTAAAAATTGGAAAGTCAGATAAACAGAGAGGAGGAGAGACTGAGAGGAAGATCTTCTGTCCGATAATTCACTCCCCAAGTGACTGCAACAGCCGGTGCTGCGCCGATCTGAAGGCAGGAGCCAGGAACCTCTTCCAGGTCTCCCACACGGGTGCAGGGTCCCAAAGCTTTGGGCCGTCCTCGACTGGTTTCCCAGGCCACAAGCAGGGAGCTGGATGGGAAGTGGAGCTGCTGGGATTAGAATCGGCGCCTATATGTGATTCTGGTGCTTGCAAGGCAAGGACTTTAGCTGCTATTTTCTTTTTTTTAAAGATTTATTTTTATTATTTTTTATTGGAAAGGCAGATAGAGGAGAGACAGAGAGGAAGATCTTCCGTCCGATGATTCACTCCCCAAGTGAGCCGCAACGGCCGATACTATGCCGATCCGAAGCCAGGAGCCTCTTCCGGGTCTCCCACGCGGGTGCAGGGTCCCAAAGCTTTGGGCCGTCTTCGACTGCTTTCCCAGGCCACAGGCAGGGAGCTGGAAGGGAAGCGGGGCTGCCAGGATTAGAACCGGCGCCCATATGGGATCCCGGGCGTGCAAGGCGAGGACTTAACCACTTGCGCCACCGCGCCAGGCCCTTTAGCTGCTATTTTCTAAGATGTGTTTATTTATTTGAAACGATGAGAGGGAGAGGTAGAGAAGGCTCTTTGATCTGCTGGTTCACTCCCCAAATGGCCAGAACAGCCTGGGTTGGAGCAGGTGGAAGCCAGGAGCTCCATCCAAGTCTCCCACATGGACAGGGCCCTGGGCCTTCATCTGCTCCTCCCAGGTGTATTACAGGGAGCTGGATGGGAAGTGCAGAAGCTGGAACTATACAGAACGGGACGCTGGCGTCTTCAGAGGCTATGCAACCCGCTGGGTCGCACACACTGGACCCCAGCTAAGATGTTCTGCATCTGCTTTGGGTTGATACTAACTTTTCAGAACCCAATGTGAATTTTATCCTGAGCATCTCTGCTTGGACTCACCCCAGTTTGGCTGCCCCCTTGCTGAGCCGGCCACTGCATGTTGGTGTGTCCCCTCCAGCTCCCTTCATTTGAAAATGAGACATTTATGTCACTTCCTGAACTTTGGAAGACTGCCTGAATGAATGGTCACGTGTGGAAGTAAAAGAAATCTTCAGCTTGCATATATTGGGATCCCGTATGGGTGCTGCTTTGTGTCCCGGCAGCTCCACTTCCCATCCAGCTCTCTGCTTGGGACCTGGAAAAGCAGTGGAAGACTCAAAGCCTTGGGACCCTGCATCTGTGCAGGAGACCCAAAGAAGCTCCTGGCTCCTGGCTTCAGAACAGCAGAGCTCTGGCTGAAGCAACCATTTGGGGAGTAAACCAGCAGATGGTAGATCTTTCTCTCAGATTCTCCTTATCTCTGTAAATCTGAAATCTGATCTGCCTTTCCAATAAAAATAAATAAATCTTTAAAAAAAAAAAAAAGGGCTGAGAAAAAAGCGGGATCCTAGGCTGAGTACCAGCGCCCCACTGAGGTTCCCAACTGGTGGTCTCTGGTCTCTGGTCTCTGGTCCCCTGGCTCTCAGGTCAGACCTTCCCTGACAGGAGTAGAAGCAGAAGCAGGCAGACACTTGCCAGGGGCGTTCCCTCGTCCCCTTGCAGACTGTCCTTTCCTGAGGCTCCTGGAATGTGCACCTGCTCCCAAGTGCATCCTGGGCTGAGGGCACACCCCGTTCCCGGTGACACCTGCAGGTGAAGCATCTCCCTTCCTAGGTGCCTTGCTTCTTGCCTCCCAGTTGGACCTGGAGTGGCATGGTGTGCCCACCTCACATCCAGGAACTGCATGGCTCAGAAGCCAGGGTGGACAGGACAGGCCCAGAGCTTGGGCCTGCTGACTTGCGGGCTGGTGCCCATGTTGTGCAGTGTGTTCAACAAGGGCACAGGGTCCCAGCGTGGTGGTCAGCCTGCTGCTGTCCCCCTTCAGGGCTGCCACCTGGAGCTCAGCAGGAGATGGGGAGGCCACAAGCTGCCCAGGAACTGGCTTAGCTGTGCTTTCACTCAGCAAAGATGTGCACGCTGTACAGGGGCTCCAGCTGCACACAGCAGCATCTGGCCCAGCCTTCCGGAGGTCTGTCGTGGGGAGCCAGCCGGAACTCTAGCCACTGCAGGCTGGGGAAGGCCACCTGAAGGTAGCTGAGGGCCTTCAGGGGACCTTGACTGGGAGCCGGAGGAGGCTAGAGAGGCCCACATGACACAGAGAGAGCCAGGCAGGGGGCGGGGCGCAGTGCAGACAGGGTAGGCTGTGCAGACACCAAGGGGGCAGGAGGCGGCAGGAGGAGAGTGGCTCCAGGCTTGGGGGAGGAGACATCCGGGGAGTAGAGGAAGCCATGGGACAGGTCTTCTGGAAGGGAGGACAGTCCCGAGCAGGCCTGCGTGTTTAGAAGGCCCCCTTGGGCTGCTCTGTGGAGAAGGGCTGTGGAAGTCAGCACTGCAGTCCTTTTGGCCCCCAACCTGGGTTATTTCACAGGCAGCTTTTGGCACCCCAGGGCACAATCCCTGAGGTGTTTCTCAGGAGTCCCTCCATAACCAGCACCAGACCAGCAGGGGGCACTGCTGGGGCCGTGCTTGGGCCAGGGGGCATTTCTGGGGGCAGGTGGCAGGTGGCACTCACAGTTTCTGAAAGGAAGCAGGACTCCTCTTCTCAGACGATGTCGGTGGAAAACAGACCAGACCCCGCCGAGGGGTCTGAGGAAGCAGCAGAGGCCCCGTTGGACATGTGTGAAGGTGAGGGAAGAGGGGCAGTGGTTGGAGAAGGTGGGGGCAGGGTCAGTGGGTGACGGAGGCAGATGTGGAGGGCAGGGTAGAAGGGCTGAATCCAGCTTCCACCTGCCGGAGCTCTCACCTGCCTCACCTGGCACCTGTGCCCCTTTGTCTGCCTCCATTGCAGACCGAGACTCGCCCCCCTGCCCGGATACCATCTCCAGAGAGAAGCGCTCACTGGTGCCTGACCCTGAGCCTCATGAGCCATCAGAGCCAGCAGCCAAGAGGTCCAAAAGGTGACTGATGCCCAGAGCCCTGGTGCCCTGGCCTGGTCTTCCTGCACAGGCAGGGTGGGCAGAGCAGCGAGTGGACCCTTCAGCGAAGCAGGGAGAGTGGGCCTTGGCCTTTGGCTCAAAGAGGCCCAGACTCACCTCTTCACTGTTAGCTAGGGCAGGCTCTAGGCTAGACTTTGGTGATGTTTTTCCTGGAACTGAGCCACCTGGAGGCTCAGCGTGGTTGGTTGCATTGGACAACTGCCGGGGTCCATCTGGGACTTCAGAGGGTAGACAGTTTGCAGAGCTAATTGGATCCAGGCTAGCAAGTTGTGGGAAGGGGGGCAATCTCCCCAGCTTATGTAGGTGGACCTGGGGACCCAGGGAGCCACAGCAGCAGGGCTCAGATTGGAGAGTGGCCCTTGGAAAAGATGACTCTGATTGTTATTTTGACCCCTTCCAGTTTGGAGGAGCCCACAGAGTCAGGGCCTCCAGGACAGCTGAAAGCCAAGGTCCAGCCACAGGCCCGAATGACGGCCCTAAAGCAAACACAGACGCCTGAGCTGCTGCCTGAGCCACTGGAAGCCCAGGGGCCACCACACTTCCAGCCCCAGGGGGCTCTGGTGAACCCCGGGGGACAGCCAAGGCTACAGAAGCAGGCCCAGACACAGACCTCTCCAGAGCACTTGGTGCCACAGCCGAAGCAGGCACATCCAGAGCCACAGAAGGGCACAGAGCCACAGTCCTCAGCACAGCCACCCACGGAAATGGAGCCACGGAAGCAGGTGCAGGCCTCGGTATGCTCACCGCCCCCCAGGCAGGTGGAGCCACCACTGCTGAAACAGGCCCAGACACAGACGTGTCCGCAGGTACTCAGCCAAGCACAGCCACGGGTCCAGCCGCGTGAGCAGCCTTCGGGGCAGACCCAGACCCTGCCACAGGGGTCGGTGCCAGCCTTGGAGCAAGCACCACTCCCAGCCCGTGCCACATTGCTGGAGATGCTGCCTGAGATGGTAGATGCCAGGGGAGGTGAGTGAGTGTTGGGTCTCAGAAACCCAGGTCTGAGGCCACCCACCCCCAAGGCTTCCTCATGGGTCCTGGTTGCAGGCAGAGAAGGCAGCTCTCTCAGGTCAGGGTCCATTTGGGCCCTGGGTGGGGGATGGCTCTGGGAAATGGAATTCGTCTGTCATTTCAGATATGGAGGAGCCCCCGTCAGAGCCAGCAGGTTCCCAGGATGAAGTGGAAGAGAGCCAGCAGGAGCCGGCCTGCGGCCTGGACATGGGAGAGTGCGAGAGAAGAGCAAGGGAGATGCTAGGGGTAGGTGCTGTGTGACAGGCTGAGTGAGGGCCACCCAGCCTAGGGGCAGAGTGACCTTGTCCTAGCCTAGACCACCTCAGGGTCCCACCTGTGCCGTGGGACGGCAGCCCTCCCCTGGTCATGCAGGACAGGCCTTGATGCTTTTACTCTGAAGACCAGGGAGAGACTTCTGGGGATCAGAGTTTACCCCCAATTAGAGCCCCCAGTGCCCTCATACAAAGTGATAGACAGTGGGGTGGGTGTCCTAGCCCTTCCCCTCGATCTGTCAAGATGCTGTGACAAGGCAGTGCTCGGTCCTGGGATTGCTGCCCGTGAGCGCCCATCTGACAGGTGCTCTACTCCTGCTCTTGGCGCAGACGCGGGGCACCGGGGGCTCCCTGAAGGTCACCATCCTACAGAGCAGTGACAGCCGGGCCTTCAGCACCATACCACTCCTGCCTGGGCCGCGTGCTGCTGGTGACGCCTCCACTGCCCCCGTGGCCACCAGCACGCCCACCAAGCCCGGCCTACAATTCTTCTGCTACATCTGCAAGGCTAGCTGCAGCAGCCAGCAGGTACCGTGCCCTCAGGGCTGGGTGGGGCAGGGGAGGCCCAGGCTGCCCTGTGTCCACGGCTGCCTCAGTGGCCACCCTGGACCTTCAGGCCTTGCCCCCAGACACCTGTGATCCCGCTCAGATAAGACAGCCCCACCCCAACCAGGAAGGTGGGTCTGAGTCATACCAGCCTGTTCCAATCAGTTCCACTGGCTAAGTAGGCCCTGCAAGGTGAATTTCACTCTCTGCCTAAGTTCCCTCTCAGATCAGATGAAGAACCATCCAGAACCTACCTCACTGCGTGGCCTTGGGGGTTGGGTGACTTTGTTGTTCAAGTCCCAAACCCAGGCCTGGCAAAGGGATGCAGCATTCATGCCACTGTCATCAGGGCTCTCACTCTTGCTAACTCTGCCCCCGTACCTCACCTAAGTAGGGCCGTGGAGTCCTGGAAGTTAACCAGGAGGCTCCCTGGCATGTACTCGCTCTGTGCCTCAGCTTGCCCTCCCTGCCCAAGCCTCCCCTGTCATGCCTGTTCTCAACTCCTGCCACAGGACTTCCAGGACCACATGGTGGGAGCTCCACACCAGCAGCGGCTCGGGGAGATGCAGCACGCCAATCAAGCCTGCCTCCTGTCCCTGCTGCCTGTGCCCCGGGACATCCTCGAGAGAGAGGAGTGAGTCAGGGCCCATGCGGGCCATGCCAGACCCCAAGTGGACCCCCGACCAAGGCCCATCTTGCCACTGTGGAAGCTGGCAGGGACATAGCTCTCTGACCCGTACAAAGTCATGGTGCAGGGTAGGACAGGAAGTTGTGACAGTCTCCTGAGGTTTGGTCTAGGCAGGACAGGGTGTCCAGCCACACAGGAAGGAGGTGGTCATGGTACTGAGCCTTGCTCCCACGGCTGGTGTGCTGACCCCAACTCCAGGGTCAGGGCACCTGCGGCCTGAGATTGCAGCTGCCCTTTCACTTACATACATATTTTTACAGATTTATTTTTATTGGAAAGGCGGATTTATAGAGACGGAAAGAAAGATTCATCCCCTGGTTCACTCCCCAAGTGGCTGCAATGGCCAGAATTTAGCCAATCTGAAGCCAGGAATTTCTTCCAGGTCTTCATGTGGGCACAGGGGCCCAAGGACTTGAGCCATCATGCACTGCTTTCCTAGGCCACAGGCAGGGAGCTGAATGGGAAGTGGAGCAGCTGGGATACAAACTGGCACCCAGTGGGATGCTGCCACTGCAGACGAGGCTTAGCATACTACACCATCGCACTGGCCCCTCTTATTTTTTAAAGATTTATTTTTGTGGCAGAATGACACATTGGAAAAGAGAGGCCTTCTATCCTCTGATTTACTTCCCAAATATGCACAACAGCCAGGACTGGACCAGGGTGAAACTTGGGAGCCTGGTGTTCCATCCAGGTCTCCCATGTGGGTGGCAGGGGTCCAGACACTTGGGCCATCTTCTGCTGCCTTCCCATGTTCAGCAGGGAGCTGGATCAGAAGTGGGGCAGTTGGGACTTGATGTGGTCCCTTTTATCATAATGCGGATTTTGACTATCAAAATCCTTGCTCTCTCTACTCCTGGGCCCCATAACCAGCTCTTGGGGCACTAAGACCTGCAGGGAGAGTAAGAGCTTGCGGGACCCTGTGGGCAGTCATTGGCCTGCGGGGCAGGAGGCAACGTCAGGGCACCTGGGAGGATGCAGCCTGTGTCTCAGCATTGCTGCCTCATCTGGACAGACACCCAGATCTGCATGCAAGAGCTTCCGATCATAGACTGCACAACTCACCCTGAACACTGTGCCTAACTCTCCCAAGGAGAAGGGCCTCCTGAGTGGCTTGTGCTTAGGTCTAACATTCATGAGCACAGGAAAAAGCCAACCAACACTCTTTGTAGTTACAACAGGGAAAAGGCCTCGCATGTCCCCACTGCATCCTGGGAGGCAGGTCCCCACTAGAGGGGTTGGTTATGTCACTCAAGGCCTGCCGTGTGGGGCAGTAGCAGAAGCCAGCACCCTTGTGGGAGTGCCAGGGGTGTGGGGACACAGCTCAGCCTTGGGGTATCCAGTAGAGCCCACGTCGGATGAGCTTGGCTGTGTGCAAACGGCTCCCACAAAGCGTGGCCATGGACAAGTGGAGAGGATGCCTCACCTTCCAACCACTGTATTCCCTGAGGTTGGGAAGGACGTGACAAATTCACAGGTTGTTTATACTGAAGGGCAGTTGGGAGATTTCGAGGCCAAGGAGCCTCGGCTGGTCGCCCCCTGGTGGCCTCATGGCCACACCACTAGTTGCCATAGGCACTTGCTGTTGCCCAGCACATCACAGTTTGTAGAAGTCACCATCCCATCCCAGTCTGCCACCCTTCACTCTGATCCCCACCCTGTGCAGAAACAGATCCTGCCCTCTGGGACAATGGATGAGGTCCCTGTGACGGAGATTCAGCAAATTCTGTGAAACAGAGCTTGGCTTGACCAAAAAGTAGTGGCTGTGAGCTGTGTAAGGCAGACGGTGAGGGACACATTTCATACAGGCTCCCGTCACGACAGCGGACCCCAGGCCAACTGTGGCCTCAGCTTCCTGCTAGTGTGCCCAGCTGTTAGGTGGTACCTGTGTGCACAGGCGCAGGACAGTCCTGGGGTGGCAGGGCCATTCCTGGGCTCCTGATCTGCGTCTGGCTAACATTCACCCTGGGAGGCAGCAGATAGATTTTGGGCTCCTGGTTTCAGCTTGGCCCAGCCCATCTGTAGCAGGTATCTGGGCAGTGAATCAGCAGATGGGACAGTGCCCTTCAGCCCTAAAACAGGGGGCCCTGTCTTGTCACGGGGCTTTTCTGATTAAGAATCAACCCCCTTTTTTTCTGCCCATAATCCACTCATTCTAGAGAATTTTGCAAATAGCCCCTGCCGCCCAGAGGGGAGCAGTGCTGAAGGCCTGGTCCACTTCCCCCCGACCCCTTCTGTGCTTCTGCAAAGAACCCTTTCTAACAATGCAAGCCAGCACCACACTGCCAGATGTTGTCAAAACGTTTACCATCTCCTTGTAGCTCTCCAGCACACGGTTCTTTTCTTTCTAAGATTTATTTATTTTGATTTGAAAGGCAGAGCTTCACCCACTGGCTCACTCCTCAAAGGCCTGTCCTCCCGAGGGGCCAGCGCATTGTGCTGCCACCCCCCACAGCATCCATGTTTCCCTCTGCCTGCTGCTCCCCAGCAGGGCCCCTGCCAGCACTTGAAGCTGTCCTCAGCTTTCACTCCCAATGGCTGGCATCCCGCTCTCGCCCCCACCTGCTCTATTCCTCAAAGGCCACCCCCAGACCCACTATGTTGGAGTTCCCAGACAGTGCTGGCATCACTGTGAAAATGGTGTTTCACTTGTGGGGCAACACTGTCACCTTCCCTTGCCCTCTCATCACCCAGAGAGCCCCCGCCCCGACGCTGGTGCCACACCTGCCAGGTGTACTACTTCGGGGACCTGATCCAGCACCGCAGGACGCAGGACCACAAGGTAGGGGGCCTGGGGTTGACAAGGAGACATGCAGGTCTGTCTGTGCGTCATAATGTCATCCTGTGTCCCCTAGGCGCACTGTCTCTGCCCTTGTACCGCAAGGTGCTTGTGGGCTGGAGGCTCTGTGGGCTCCTGCCCCCTCTCCTGTCTTCCATGTACATGCAGAATTCTGTTGCCATCCTGTTTCACACCTCTCCATACAGGGAAGATATGTGTGTTTGCATGTCTCAGGGTGGGCCTATAACAGAGTCCGGCTTCTGCTGAGTGCGGGGCCTGCAGGGGGAGTGAAGCCTTGCTGGGCTCACCGCCACGCAGCCTGCCCTCCCTGCCTCCAGATCGCCAAGCAGTCACTGCGCCCCTTCTGCACGGCTTGCAACCGCTACTTCAGGACCCCCCGCAAGTTTGTGGAACATGTGAAGTCGCAGGGCCACAAGGACAAAGCCAAGGAGGTAATAGAGGCTTCCCGCTGAGGACACGGGCCCAGAGAGGTCCAGGGACGCAGAGCGGGGTGGCTGTCATCCTGTGGCACATTAAGCAGGTCTGGATGTGGGGTTGAAGACAGGCATAGGGTGGGCCATGTATGGCTGCAGAGCTGACCTGCACTTCTTGCTTGCCTCTGGGGCAGCTGAAGTCCCTGGAGAAGGAGATAGCCGGCCAGGACGAGGACCACTTCATCACGGTCGATGCTGTGGGCTGCTTCGAGGGAGATGAGGACGAGGAGGAGGATGAAGACGACGAAGAGGATATTGAGGTGGAGGAGGAATTCTGCAAGCAGGTGCTTGGCGGAAAGGCTGTGGGAGGAAGACTGCAGGCTGGGCCCTCAGCCCAGCAGGGACCTCCCTCCTCTGCTTCCCCTCCCAGGGCCAGGCACCATGCTGGCCTCAGTAGGCATACAGGCCTGCCAGCACTCCCTGTCTGCTAGGATGATGGTCAGGTGGCTGTACCTGTGACCTAGGCGGGATTGGGATTAGTAGAGGCAAGAGGTGGGGTAGCTCCGCGGTGCCAAGGAAAGGCTGGGGCAAGGTGGTGGTGACAGGGATAGCAGTGAGGTGGCATTCGGAGCACCTGCCATGTGGGAGGTGCCAGGCGCTATCCCTGCAGAGTGTCCTCAAACTGGGACAGACACACACATACCCCTCCCCTCATTGAGTGTTCGCCCACAGATCAGCTGTGCCACCTGGGCGAGTCAGCTGATAGCCTGGCCCCTCTCCACTTAACGTCAAATGTGTGTGGGAAGATTCAGTGAATAGATAGACATGACGCACTGGGCACACTCGTGTGGGTTCTGGCTCTGGTGGGAGGAGAAGGGGTCTGGCTGAGCAGAGCCTAGAAAGTTCCGACAGACAAGGGCACTTTCGGAGGCAGGACCTGCAAGAACTTCAGAGAATGGCATTCAGGAGAAGTCAGGCAGTGGTGTGTCCCGGGGCACAGGTGGGCTCCAGGGCTGTAAGCAGAGTCCTGTGCAGGGCGTATGTGTGTATGGGGGGGCGGGCAGGGCAGCTCCTGGACCCCCTGCTGGCCCATTTCCAGGTGAGGTCCAGAGACATCTCCATAGAGGAGTGGAAGGACTCAGACACCTACAACCCCAACACAGCTTATGGTGAGACCCTGCCCCGATCCCACCTGCAGGAACTGCGTACAGCCTTCTGTGGAGACCCCATGACCTGTTCCCCTGCTCCTGCCCAGAGGATGGAGAGTCTGGGGCGACTCTGGAATGGGCAGGAAGCCTGGTGGGGGTGGGAGAGAGGTGTGCAGCCCTTGCCTTCCCACAGGCGTGGACTTCCTGGTGCCAGTGATGGGTTACGTGTGCCGCATCTGCCACAAGTTCTACCATAGCAACTCGGGGGCGCAGCTCTCCCACTGCAAGTCCAAGGCTCACTTTGACAACCTGCAGGTCAGTCCAGCCTGTTGCCCCTGCCCTCCTCAGGGGTTCCTGGGGGTGTGACCACCGGCGGGAATCAGAGCTGACACAGGGCCGGGCTGTTATTAGTGCCTGAGCTCAGGGTCCCCAGCACGTCGATGCTGTCTGCCCGGTGCCCACCGTGGTATGGGAGGGAGGCGGCTCCACCCTCACCTGTATCCTCTGTGTCCAGAAATACAAGGCGACCAAGAACCCCAGCCCCACCAGCCGGCCCGTGAGCCGCCGCTGTGCCATCAACGCTCGCAATGCCTTGACAGCCCTGTTCACCACTGGCGGCCGCCAGCTGGTCCAGCCCAGCACCCAGGATGTGGCCAAAACCCCCAGCAAGGTGACCGCTCAGCCTCCCCAGCCCCCACCTCGGCGCTCCAGCCGCCTGAAGTCCTAATAGAGGATGAACCCCATGGGATAGACTTTGGGCATGGTTGGTGTCTTTACTCAAAGTCCAATAAAAGGCAGTCTGTTCACGCAATGTCCACCAGCACGTTTGTCTGGTTGGACAGGTGCTGCCCCAGCTGGTTTACAATCAGCACACACCCACAGGAGGCAGGAACTAGGGACTTTCTCCTAAGAATGTGTCAGGCCAAAAGCACCACCATCCAAGGAAGATCTAGAACCTTCACCAGGACGCCTCAAATTGCTCTTGTTAGCCCCGAATTACAGGAGCAGACAGTGAGGCCTGGCAGGGTCATGTGACCTGCCCAGGGTCACACAGCTGGGAAGTGGCCAGATGCTGACCCCAGGGCCTGAATCCCCACACTTGCCTCTCCCTGGCAACCCCACAGGCAGTGCCAAGTAGGAGTGGAGGGTCCCCCACCGCACAGAGCCTCTGGTTCCAGCAGGGACCACCATAAGATGCAAACTCAGTGGGGGCCCTGACTCAGGGCTCTGTAGTTCTGCCATCTCTGGTTTTAAACCACCCTGAGAGCCCGACTGCTGCTTGGCCCACCTCCCAGGCTGGCAGGGAGACTAGGCCCAAGGATGGCTGAGGGCAGTGCTGGCTGGGTCTGCTGGGCACTCTAGAGATGCCACATCAGCCATGCTGGGAAGCAGCCAGGGATGCACCAGGTAGGGAGGAGACCCCGCCCCCACCTGTACCCTCCAGTGTCCCTACAGACAGACGGCCGGGGACCCCAGCCCCAATCACTCCCCAGCTAGTCCATGAACTACCACCCTCATCCCTCGTCCCAGCAGACACAGGCGAGAGGCGGAGCGGAGCTGCAGACCCATTTACTGTGTGGATACTCCGGGCCTGGGCAGGCAGAGGAGCGGCTGGTGGCGGGCCCACCCCGGCCCCAGGAGGGCATGCTGGGTATGGGGTGAGGCCCGTGAAAGCCGACTCACCAGGGGACCGGGAGGCCAGCCCTTGAGAGGGTATCTGAAGCAGGTGGCGAGTGCCCAGAGCAGGGCCCAACAGGGCGCCTAGGGACTGGCATCCTCGGGTGCCTCCCCGAGCCGCTGCTGGAACTCGAGGCGCACCTGCCGGTTGGACTCAAGCAGCTCGCGTAGGCGGGCATGCAGGCGGTCGTTCTTCTCCTCCAGGTGATCCAGCACCGAGTCGATCTGGTCCAGCATAGCATTGATGGCAGCATATTCTGAGAACAAAGGGGGAACAAGATGGTCAGGGTCTACCTGTGTCACTGCCCCTGCCTCCCCAAGGCCTCTGGGCTGTGCCCACGCCTCAGTGTCGTTCCAGCCCCCAACCCCTGAAAATGGGTCAACACCCCAAAGGCAAGAAAGGCTCTGAGGAAGGAAGAGCTTAGTGTGCCATCTTCTCTTCCAGGGCTAGGGCGGTCAGAGGGCAGCCCAGGCCCCGCCGGGGGAGCCTCAGCTCCTCCACCTGCGCTTCCTTCAGCAGCCACCCAGAGGTCACAGCACCCTCGTCCCCAAGTCGGGCAGCCCAGGCCGGCCCTAGGATGTCCCATCCTGCAGCCCTACTCCAGCAGGACAGAGCACTCAGGACTCTCCCAGGCTTTGCATTTGGTTGTCGCACTGTCTCCTCTTCCCAGGCCAGACACTCGGCCCTCCCTCTGCCTCATGCACTGTCCTCCCCCACCTACCCCTTCAACTTGCTGCTGTCTCCCCCTGCACCACCTCCTCTTCCCACTGTCCTCTCCTCCTGGGGGTGCACCCCTCCGGGGTCCTCTGGCCTTGCTTGCCCTGGCCTGGGCCTCCCCTTTCCCCTCTGGATTGACTGCTCTGTTATCGCAGTGCTGCTCTCTGGTCAGAAAGCTCCCTGAGAAATGACTTGGTGCTTGCTGCTGCCCCCTCTGTCACACAACCTGTCCAATGAATGAATGAGTGGACCCTTTAACCGTCTTGCCTCTCTGCTTCTGCTCAGCTGTCCCTGCTACCCATTGCAAGAAGTCCACCCTGATCTCCACTAGAAACCATCACTTCCTCCAGCACAGCCACTTGCGACCTACCTCTCCTAGCAACACGGCGTCCCTTAGGACTGACTCAAGGTCTGGGCCTGTGCCCACTGCGGGACCCGGCTCTGAGCCAGCCTGATTCAGACACACTCAGCTGCCAGCCCAGGACCAAGGGGGAAGTGGCTGGCAGGGCCTGCAGAGGGCGAGTCTGGGATGTGGGGGTACAGATGCTGGGTTTGGGGGAGGCCCAAGCCCACAGGCCTTATGGCCACCCATAACGGCCCTTATCACTGTCCAGCATGGTCCCGACCCAAACCCACCAGCCCACTGCCTGCCTGGACAGGAGGTGCAGACCCTGCAGTGACTGTATTGGAAGCCCCCAAGTCTGCAGGTGATACCCACCACACAGGCAAACTGCACAGCATGGGATTCACAGCTTAATCAGGTTACTGCCCAAACGTCTCAAGCCAGACTCCAAGCTCAGCCTGCATTCCCCCACACTCCGCCCTCTGACACCCTGCAGGCGGGTGGTACCTCAGCCATTTCATCTCTGCATTCAATCCTCACACGTCTCAATACATGAGGGTGAGACAGGAGTTGAGGCTCAGCTCCCTGCAGCAGCGTGCAACAAGCTGCTTCTGCAAGCAGGTCAGCCTGACTCAGCACGGCGGGCGCGCCCACCCACCTGCTCAGGCCTGCTCCCCACCAAGCTCCCCAAGGGCTGAAGGATGCCACGGTCCTGCGTTTCCCCATCCCCGAGCGGGGCTGCTCACCCGCATTCGGCTCGCCCCTGCATCTCCCGCGCCTACAGGTCGGGGACCAGCCAGGGTTTGGGGGCGGGGAGTCCCTCAAGCCCCCCACCCCAATCACCTGCTTCCCCGAAGCCGTCGTCCTCGCCTTCCGCACCCGCCTCCACCGGCACGCCCAGGTCCCCGTTGGGGCCTGACATTGCGGCCTCGGGCGCCACAAGGGCCACGGGACGATGGAACGCGGCGACCGGAGCGCCCACAGCCGGCGCGGGGCGGAAGGCGGAAGCGGCGGCGGGAAGCCGAAGCCGGAAGGGTGGAATGCAGCGGCGGCCCTGGCCCCGCCCCCAGAGCCAGAGCCCCGCCCCTCCGCGGCAGCTCCGCCCCATCACGCTGCCAGGCTCCGCCCCTCCGCGGCAGTTCCGCCCCGGGCCTGGTCGCCTGTGTCTTTTTGTTTGTAAGTCGTATTTTGGCCCCCAGCAGAGAGGACCAACCCTCCTTGGTCTTCTGCGACTCTCTCAGGACGCTCCATTGGCTTACACCTTGTGGATGGTGATCAGACTCCTGCTGTGTGTGGGTTTAGCCTATTTTAACCCCTAGGTTCTGTAACTGGGGCACTGGGGCTGGGAACCTGGGAGGGCTTGTTCCAGCTCTGGGCCAGTGCCACCCAGGCCTGTTTCTGCTTAAGTCAGGCTTACCCCTCCCCTCCTGTGAGTGCTGCTTACAGGATGGGAGATTGTGGCAGAGGGCAGTGTGGGTCTATCCATCAATGAAAACCTCAGATAAGGGGGACCCAGCTGGCAGCATCCCAACCCTTGCCAGCAAGGGTCCCTCCTGGTTTTAACCCCTAGCAGATGTGGGTTGCCTAAAATTGACAGTTTGGGGTTCTTTGGGAAGCTCACACATCCAGGGCCCCCAGGAGGCCAGAAGCCCCAGTGGTGCAGCCCAGGAATCTGGGGTGGCTCCTGCCCCTGAGCCAGCTGATGGGCTCTGGGCCAGCTGCCCTGACTGCCCCTGTCTGGCTGTGGCCACCCTGGGTATGGACATGGACCTAGCCCTTGCTTGGGTCTCGGGCTGCCACAGCCTCAGGTAAATTAGCCCTCGCCTCGTGCAGGATGAGTGAGGCTGTGTGCCTGTCTGCTGGGGGGTGAGGGGTGGGGGTAATCCCAGTCCCCCATCAAGGACCTCTGACCTAACAAAGGTGAAGAGGCTGGGAAGGGGGTTCCCGCTGATGGTGCAGACCTAGTGAGGCAACAGCTGCACCCCTTCCGGGGGCTCTGGAGGTGACTGAAGATGGGACATGTGGGGGTGAGGTGCAGCATCCTGACCAGGGGAAGGGAAGGCGGGGCCTGGGCCCGAGGGCCACCCCTGCTCGGCCTGGAGTGACCTCAGTCTGGGTGCAGCTCGCCTCATCCACTGTGCACCCTTCTTTGCCTGCCTGCATCCAGGGGATGCTAATAAGAGGCAGATAGCCCTGCCTGGGCCACTGCTGGGGGACAGGAAATGTGGATCCCTGTGGATTACCAGTGGACTGGGCACCCTCTGTAGGCAGCGGCAGGCTGCACCTGCTGGAGGTGACAGGCTGGAACCCTGAAGCCTTCCCCCTTATGATGATGTCATCACTCTGCGGCCGGAATCTCCCCCAGGGACCACAGACCTGGGTGTGATGCTGGTGTGAGCCTTCTCTCACCCAGTGCCCCAGGGGTAGAAGTACAGACTGGGGCGGGGGCTGGGAGCATGTGTTTATTTAGCAGACAGGTGAGGGTGGGGTGGGTTCCATTAGCAGGGCGGCGTGGGCAGCAGCTGTATGTGGAAGGGGCTCCTGGCCTCTCTCTCCTTGCTGGGATGGCAGGGAGGGAAGGGAGCAATCACCCTCATGTAGAGGCCAATGGCATGGAGGTGAGGCAGAGCATCGCAAGCACCTGTGAGGGAGATGGTGGGGGTGTGTAAAGCCAGCAGTGGTGATGGCGGGAGGGGGAGAGCAAAGGCAGCCCTGAGCCCCTGCCCTCTATGTCCCTGCCTCCCAGCAGCCCCCTGCCCAGCCATACTCACTGCCGACTCAATCATCAATGCACTGGCCTGGGGGGGTGGGGAGAGAAAGTGGGTAAGAACGGGAGGTCCTGGCTCCCAACCGCCAGGAGCCTTGCATGCCCTGGGGCTGCCACTGGTCCCACTGTGGAAGATCGGCCAGGGGAGGGAGTTCCCTTCAGGAATGGGACAGTAGGATGGTCCAGGCTGGGCCCCCAGGGATGGTAGAGACAAGGCCTAGGAACAGACTGTCCCTCATTCCCTCCACCCTTTCCCTGATAGGGACAGTCCCCAGGGTGCCCTCACCCCACCCTGGTCACTCAGCAGCCATTACCGATGGGGGCAGGGAAGACAATGTGGTTGTCGGTGAGGCCCAGGGACTTGGCGAAGCTGCTGAAACGCCCCCTGTGTTCAGGGCTCAGCTCCTTGGTCCTCCCTGTGGCCGAGATGGCCAGTAAGTGGCCAGAAACCAATCCGTGAACATTGGGGAAGGGAGGAGGGTGGGTGAAGCTTCAACCCCCCCCTCACAGGAAAACCTGGTGGCAAGACCACTCCCTCCCCGCTTCCCCTGCCCCTGCCCCTGCCCAGAGTGACTGTGGCTGTGGGGGGGCGGGGAAGACTCACCGTAGAGGACAATCTTGAAGAACTTCTTCTTATTTTTGTGCACCTTTCGGAAGAACACGATGGCAGATTGATTGTAGTCTGTGTTCACCACACGTACCAAATAGCTCTTAAGGGTAGGGTAACCTACAGGTGCAGACGAGGGGTCAGCCACACCCTGGCTCAGGGAGGAAATGGAGGCCTTGCTTCCCAGCCTGTCAGCACCGGCTTCTTTCCTACAGAATGGTATAGCCCCAGGGACTCACTCTTAATGTTGCCCAAGTTGAAGTGGCCAGGCTTGGAACCTGGGACGAAAGTTCTGACCCAGTGGTCACACTGCTGGTTCCTGTGGGGTTAAAAGCAGGGGAGAGTGGAGGGTCCTGGCTTAATCCTGCTGGGCCCAATCAGGGACACCCCATTCTCCACGCCCACCTATTCCTGGCTGGCCCTGCTGGGTCCCCCACACACACATCCAAGGGCCCGATGATGACTCAATCTACTCCTACTGAGGGCTCGGCCCCTTTAAGGCCACCTCCCTGGCAGCCCTCAAAGGAGAACCTGGGTGGGGCCTTAGGCTGGATCCAGTGTGCCCACTTGCATTCTAGGACACCCTATGGTCTCTGGCGGTGTGTCTGTCCCCCTCGCTGCCCTGTGCGTTTGTGTGGAAGGAACTTGGGGACATGGGTCTGATGAATCAGCAGCAGAAGGAACCAACAGGCATGGTCAGCGCTGAGCTGTATCCCTTGGTCCCGGCCACATCTCAGCCACTCTGTCTGTCCGTCTGTCTGCCAGTGAGAGCCATGGGAGATTGTAGCACTCACCTGAGCAGGGTGGAGGTGACGTTGTAGCTGCCGTCCTCCTTCAGTTCGTAGGTGGTGCTATACATCTGCTGATATTCTTGGTCACCGTTGTGGATATTATTGCCCGCCAGGCCTACAACGTACCACTTGCCCTGGAACTGCAGGGGGCTGATGGCAGGTGGAGCCCAGGCCCTGGCTCCCGGAGCCATGCTTCCTGCTCTGTCCCCACTGGCCTGTCTGAACAGCCCAGGCTGCAACCCAGATCTCTTCTTCTGCCTTTTAAATCCATATATTGATGGTCACATGACTTTATTAAAAAAGTATTCATTTATTTGTCAGGCAGAGTGACAAAGAGTGGCTGAGTGATCTTGTATCTGTTAGTTCACGCCCTAGATGGCCACAAGGGCTGGGACTGCTCCAGATTAAAGCCAGAAGCCTGGAACTCAAACCAGGTCAACCCACATGGTGGCAGGGCCCCAAGCGCTTGAGCCCTCCTCTGGTGCCTTCCTAGATGTACATGAGCAGGGAGCTAAATCAGAAGTGCAGTAGCTGGAACTCGAACCAGAGCTTCAATCTGTGATGCTGGCATTGCAGGAAGCAGCTTAACTTGCTGCTCCACCACACTGGCCCCTTGGAGCTCCTCTTAGCTGCTGAATGGGGCCCTAGGCTGGGCCTGCACTGCTAAGGCCCACAGGAGCCCTGGCAGGGACTACCCTGAGCCTGGCAGCAGCAGGGGCAACTTTGGGCAGGAGGTTGCTGGGCTTTTTTGGAGCCTGATGGGAGTGAACAAGTGTGGACTGGGAAAGTCTACAGCGGTGACACCCCGAGATAGGGTGGGTGGACAGGGAGATGGTGTGGAGCCTCGGTCAGAGGGACCTGGGGACAGGCCCAGGCAGAAGCCCATGTCTCCCCACAATCCCAAGACTCTTGCCTCCTCTTGCACTCTCTCTAGCCCCCAACCACTGCAGCTGGCCCCTCCGGGGCCCTTACCTGGTCACTCTGGAAGTTCTTCTGCACTTGGATCTTGTGTAGAGACGGGACAGGGATCAGGCGTGAAGATGGGGTAGGGTTCCTGGTGAGTTCTTGGGCCTGGGTGTGTAGGGCCCCCAGCAGGATGAGGCCCAGCCACAGGAGCCCAAGAGCCATGATGCCAGGACAGCTGCCAGGCCTGGTTCGTGAGAACAGGAGGAGGAAATGAAGGCAAGGTCAGTTTGTGCCCTCTTTATGGGCCCACCTGGCTGCCAGCCCCCACCAAGGTGGGGTGAACCAGACTTTGCCAAATCCAGGAAGGGTGAGGAAATTGCCAGAAACCAAGGCTGAAATGCTTGGCAAGATTTCTGCCCACCCCTACCACCGGCTCTCCCCCAAGGGGATTGAGCAAGAAAGAGAGGGGAAGTCACAGCAGGGGGCATTGGAGGGACTTTCCCAGGACCTTGGCAGGGACAGGGGCTCCCTCCTTCTGCAAACTGCTTGGCTCCATCTGGGGACCAGCAGTCCCCAATTTGGGTGAGCTGTCATCTCTGGCCCTGCCCCAGGACTCCCTGCTCAGCCTGAGCAACAGCTGGCAGGGTCTGCGTGCTACATCCCTTCACCTGCAGAGAGCTACTTCTGGGTTTCCCTGAGGGTCAGGGAAGTTCAAGGCCTCCACTCTGAGTCTAGTCCCAGACTCCTGCTGGAGCCTGCACTGGCCCTGGCCCCAGGTGAGATGGAAGAGAGGCTGCCTGGGTGTGGGCCCACCTTGAGTCACCCTCCCCTCTTCCAGGCCCTTTTTGCAGGCGTGCACACAGACATAGCTGACCCCCATCCCTGGGGACTAGACCTCTCCTATTAGTCTCAGGGTACAAGGGCCGGGCTGGCCGCTTGGGCCACAGTAATGTCAAGACCTCCGTCCCAGCTCACCGTGGAACCTGGGCAGGCAATTGGTAGGGTAGGCACCTGCTCTGGGAGGGGTGGGCTGGTGGGCATAAAGGTAGGCTCCACCTGCTGCTCTGGACACAGAAAGTGCAAAGACTTAACCTTGTTTGTAAGAGGTCATTGAGACTAAACATCCACCCTACCCACCCCCCATCAATAGCTGTAGCCTTAGGTCCATGAAACCTGATGACCCAGGCCTGGGATTCCAGAACTTTCCTGAGACAGTAGATTCTAGTCTTGACCTGGAGGGAAACCATTTCCTCATAGGAGGTCTAGCCATTGCGCATGGCTGCTGGCCCTGGGTAATGCCTCGCAGGGGTGGCTCACCTATGAGGGGCAGAGCTATCCCTGGGCCTGACCTAAGGCTGGAAGGAGGGTTTCACGGCCTCGGATGGATGGGACTGACACAACCCTCACTGACTCTCTCCACCTGCTGCTTGGGACCCGCAGCCTGAGCTCTGGGACAGTGTGTCCTGGGTGAGGTGGGGTGGGGTGGGGGCCTGAGCAGGTGCTTGGAGTCTCAATGAAGCCTTGCCTTTCCTGGGTGATGAAAGTGCAGGAAGTGAAGCTAAGAAAAGCTGCAAGGACGATGTGGCCACCAGGGTGTCCACGCCACCTCTGAGGCTCTCTTTAACCTTAAAAGGTATCCTTGAGTTTGTGGCATTAAATGTGGGGCACCCTGGGCCATGCAGCCTGTGGGGGAGGGGCAGTGCCCTGAATTTCCCCCACAAGGGGCTGCTGGTTGGAAGATTCCAGACTCTGAAAAGTGGCTAGTGCTTGCCACACAGGGCTGCGGGGTGCGATCTGAGCAGAGGGAGGGGCCAAGGGGGCTGGGGCTGCAACATGAGGATGCCAGGGCCAAGTACACCTGGGGTGATGGCCCCACCCTTACCTCCAACAGGCTTGAAGTGTCCCTGATTAAGTGACATTGCTAACGAGAGTCTCTTAGAAGAGCCCCATGGGCAGGAACAGGCAGCCCTGGTGAGCTGTGTGTGTCTTTCAGGAAGGTGGAGCAAGGGCAGGTTTTACAAGTGAGACCCTGGGCCCGGCGCAACAGCATAGTGGTTAAAGTCCTCACTTTGCGCGCGTGGGATCCCATATGGGCGCCAGTTCAAATCCTGTGGTTCTGCTTCCCATCCAGCTCCCTGCTTGTGGCCTGGGAAAGCAGTCGAGGATGGCCCAAAGCCTTGGGACCCTGCACCCACGTGGGAGACCTGGAAGAGGCTCCTGGCTCCTGGCTGCGGATCGGCTCAGCTCTGGCTTTTGCGTCTGCTTGGGGAGTGAACCATGAACAGAAGATCTTCTCTGTCTCTCCTCCTCTCTGTATATATGACTTTCCAATAAAAATAAACAAATCTTAAAAAAAAAAAAAGAAAGAAAGTGAGACCCTGGGAGGTGGGCAGATGCTATGTTGAAATGACAATCCTTGGCCACAAGAACCCCTGAGCTAAGGGGTATTCCTCAGTGGGGTAGACAGGTGCCGTCCCTGCAGAAGTGTTGTCTGTGGAAGGCCATGGTGATCTGGACCCTCACGGGGGCGGTGGCTCTGCCTGAGGCCCTAGTGACAATGAGCATGGCCTCCCTTGGTTCTTGTTAAATCTTCACACAGGGAATTTCATCTTGACATTGACAGTGTTCACCAGGCTCTCTGAGTGTTTTTTTTTTTTTAAGATTTATTTATTTTTATTGAAAAGTCAGACATACAAAGAGGAAGAGAGGCAGAGAGGAAGATCTTCCATCTTTTGATTCACTCCCCAAGTGGCTGCAATGGCTGGTGCTATGCCAATCTGAAGCCAGGAACCCAGAGCCTCTTCCAGATCTCTCATGTGGGTGCAGGGTCCCAAGGCTTTGGGCAGCCCTTGATTGCTTTCCCAGGCCACAAGCAGGGAGCTGGGTAGGAAGTGGGGCCGCTGAGATTAGAACCGGCATCCATATGGGATACTGGCACATGCAAGGCAAGGACTTTAGCCACTCGGCCGTGGTGCCGGGCCCTTGAGAGAGGCTACCCTGGGGACTTGTGTGCCTTCTCTGGTCCTATCTAATGGCTATGCAGTGGCCTCCAGGCTGGTCCTGTAAGGCAGCCTCCCTCACTGTGCCTCTGGGAGCTGGAAACCATTCTATGGGGTCCTCAACAAGCGATGGGGGAGGCTGTGGGGCCTGGCCCCGTTCTTGGGAGCTCCCGGGACTGGGCCTCCCAGTGCTGCTTGGGGCCTGTTTAGCAAACATGCAGGGGTTTTCTGTAATCAGAGTGGGAAACCTTGGCTGCTGGGGCATTGATCTGGCAGGTGGGTCTCCCTGCCCCCAGGGGACAGGCAGTGGCTAGCTTGACCTACGCCTCCTATGAAGGCAGGCAATGTTTTTAGACAGGTGCCTTTCAGGAATCCAGTGTGCCCCCTACCCCCGCCTGTGCCCTGTCTGGGTGTACACAGACAGACCCCCTGGGGTAGGGCCTGTGTGCAGGGGCTCACTGCTGGTTCTGAGTGCAGTCAGCTGCCTCCATGGGCTCCCAGCCCATCTCCCTAGCTTAGTGTCCCCTTGCTCTGCCTTTAATGATCGTTAAGTCAAGCTCCTACTAAAACGGCCAGGAGGGCTGGAGGCTGTGGTGCAGCCTCATGGGGTCACGTATATCAGCCAGAGCTCCAGCCAGAGGCCACTGCCCCTGGCCCACTTTGCCATAATCAAAACTCCCTGAGGAACAGGAATGTCGCTGACCAATGTGAGGATGGGGGACACTGTGGACCCACCTGGAAACCTGCCCAGAGCTGAATAAGTGCCTCTCAGCCCCACCCTTAGTCTATAAGACCCCAAGCCCCAGGGCTGGCACAGTGGCATAGCACGCTAATTCTCTGCCTGTTGGCTCTGGCATTCCATATGGCTGCTGGCTTCATGTCCCGACTGCTTCACTTATAATGCAGCTCTCTGCTTATGGCCTGGGCAACCAGCAGAGCAGGGCCCACATCCTCGGGCCCTGCACCCATATGGGAAGCCAGGATGAAACTCCTGGCTCCTGACTTCAGATCAGCTTATGAAAAGGAAAAAAAAAAATCTGTTTTTCAAATAAAAAGAAATCATTTTTTAAAATTAAAAGAACTTTTAAAAAGATGCATTTATTTTCATTAGAAAATCAGATCCACAAAGAGAAGGAGATACAGAGAGAAAGATGCTCCATCCGCTGGCCCATTCCCCAAGTGGCTGCAATGGCCAATGAGTGAATCCAAAACCAGGAGCCGGAGCTTCCCCTGTATTTCCCACTTGAGTGCAGGGTCCCACGGCCTGGGACCATCCTCCACTTACCTTGCAGGCCACAAGCAAGGAGCTGGATGGGAAGTGGGGCTGCCAGGATTAGAACCGGTGTCCATATGGGATCCCGGCATGTTCAAGGTGAGGACTTTAGCCACTAGGCTATCGTGCTGAGCCCAACAAATAAATCTTTTTTTTTTTTAAGATTTATTTATTTTATTGGAAAGTCAGATATACAGAGAGGAGGAGAGACAGAGAGGAAGATCTTCCATCCGATGATTCACTCCCCAAGTGAGCACAACGGCCAATGCTATACCGATCTGAAGCCAGGATCCAGGAATTTCTTCCAGGTCTCCTACGTGGGTGCAGGGTCCCAAAGCTTTGGGCTGTCTTCAACTGCTTTCCCAAGCCACAAGCAGGGAGCTGGATGGGAAGTGGAGCTGCCAGGATTTGAACTGGCACCCATATGGGACCCCGGCGCGTTCAAGGCGAGGACTTTAGCCGCTAGGCCACACCGCCGGGCCCGACAAATAAATCTTTAAGACCCACTTAATCCCAGCACATTTTGGAGCCTGATCTATACAGTGCGGCTGGATATATTTATTTGAAGGCAGGATTACAGATGAAGGGGGAGGGAGAAGCACCTCCACCTGCTGCTTCTTTCTCCAAATGGCTGCACCAGCCAGGGCTGGGCCAGGCTGAAGCCAGGAGGCAGGAACTCCATCCAGGTCTCCCACAAGAGCACTTGGGCTGTTGTCTGCTGCTTTCCCAGGTGCTCTAGCAAGGAGCTAGATGGAAAGTGGAGCAGCTCGAACCCAAACTGATGCTCATGTGAGTGGTGGTGGCTTAACCCATTGCACCACAGTTGGCCCCAAGCCTGGGATGAATCAGTGGCCACAGCTCCTTGCCATGTACTTCAATGTCCACCACTCCTGGCCAGTGACTACTGGCTGGCTGTGTAGACCCAGTTTTTGGCAGGTGCAGGCTGGACTCTCACCCCCAATGTCCCAGGAGTGGACCTTGGTTGACTTTTCTGCTTCCAGATGCATCTTTGGAACCCCTAGGCCCCACCTCATAGCCAGGGCTCCTGGCAGGGGGTGGAGGCACTCCTGTCCCTCCCACCTGGCAGTGATCAGCTGGGCGGAAACTTTGAAAAGCCACCCCTCCTGACATTACATTGGGTGGTAGGCGGGCAGGGGGAGACAAGCCCTGCTGCTTGAGTTCTGAACCCTGGACTACCTCCTGGTCCTGGTCCCCAGGTGCCTGACCTGGGTATGACCCTTATATGGATGCTCCCACATAGGTAAAGGGCATGCCACAACCATGACTCTGAGCAGTGGGAACAATGGGCACTGAACACACAGCACAGGCTTCTGTGTGGGCAGGGCCTCTGCCTGGCATGGTCTTGGTGCAAGACAGGACCTCCGTGTCTCCCAGCTCTGCATCCATCCCACCTCACTGTAGCCCCTGGCACCCAGGAGGCCCAGGAGAGGGGTATCCACTCCTGGGTAGTCCCCACGCCCTTGCTCCCCAGAGGCCATTGGCTGTGCCTCTGCTGGACACCTTCCAAGGTGGCTTGGGAGAGAAGACGAGGGTGGCCGCCTCTCTTTCATGCCCTGAGAGCCCAGCGTGGGCCAGGGGAGTGCCTAGCCAGAGGGTAGGGTGGTAGAGGCCAGAAGGGTTAAGGCAGCATCTGAGGACATCTGACAGGCGCCTGCTGGGGACTCTGAGGGGCTGGGAACCACCCGTCTGCCCCTCCACTCCCACTCATCGAAGGGTTGAGGGAGGACTCAGCTCTGACTTTCAGAGCAGGGTGGAGGTGGCTGCCCCTCAGAGGGAAGGGTCTTGGGCAAGGCTGTGGCAGGTAGCCAGGGCATGGCAAATGGGAAGCGTCATCCTCAGAAACCTTGGCCTTGGCCCGGGCATTGTCCCTCAGGGGTCCAGGTCAGAGGGGGCTGGGTTTGGACCCGAGATGAGGAAGGACTAGCCCCTGACTGCTTCCCAGGATTTGCAGCATCCCTAGGCCCGATCTTGATTGGTTTGCATTTTATTTGAAAAGCAGAGACTGATCTTCAATCTGCTGGTCCAGTCTCCAAATGGCTTCCCCTTCGTCCAGGTGTGGGAGCAGCAGGAAAGCTGGGATCAGAAGCAGAGCAGCTGGGATTTGAACCCATGCCAAGATGCTGGTGAGCCAGGAGGCAGCTGGCTCTGTCCCTGGGCCACACTTGCTTCACCTGGACGTTCCTATGCCCAGCGCCTTGTGCAAGCTGGTCAGACCGAGAATTTCCCAAATCATTAGATTTTCACAACTTATTACCACACGCTTGTTGTGTGCCAAGCAGTGCCTTCCAAAGGCCGGATGTCAGAAATCGGAAACTCAGCGTGCTCAGTGTGTGCCAAGTGCTTCACAGAAGGCGGCATGGGGCACAGTTAGTGCCCAGCCAGAGCCAGGGTCATCTCCCCACGTCATGATCCAGGATGGGGTGGGGGAGCTACCGGAAGAAGGGGAAAAACATGCAGGTCAGTCTGAGGTCAGAATACCCTCTGGTCCTAAGCTTAAAGTGCTGGTGGGCTCTAAAATCATCTGATTCTTGTGTCAGAAATTGGAAAGCAAAATCTCTATTCCAGCGTGTATTCATCCCGAGGCAGGAATGAGGATACATCACCGCCTGGAAGAAAATTCAGAGCTATGCCAAGACGAACACGGCTCGCTTGGTTTGCTGGGGAAGAGTCCCACACGTTTCACAAATTCACCTTCACAATTTTTTTTTGTTGGGGGGGTTGCAATGTTTGGCTTCACAGTTAAGACATTGGCTGGCTTCCTGCCAATGTGGGGGTGAGTGGTGATGGCTCAAGTGACTGGGGTGCCTGCCACCCTGTGGGGGCACCTTGAGTGAATGTTCAGCTCCTGACTCTGACCCAGCCTAATCCCTGCCGTAGGCATTTGGGACTGGGACCTGGCCCAGGTGCATGTGTCAAGTCTGTAGATTGGAGCTCTTTCACTCTGTTCCTTAGATAAATAACTAAAACAAATCAACAATAACCTCACCCAACTTTAACAGGGGGCACTGAATAAAACAGGTAAAAGAGGAACATAAAAGCCAGAATTTGAGTATTGATAAAAGACAAATAATATCACTAAGAAATGTTGAGGGGTAGGCATTGTGGCATCATGGGTTAAACTGCTATTTGTCATGCCTGTACCCTGTTTCAGAAGACCAGTGTGAGCTCCAGCTATTGTCCACTCTGGTCCAGTTCCCTGTTAAGGTACCTGCGGAAGCAGTGGACGATGGCAGTACCTGGGTTCCTGCTTCCATGTGGGAGTCCCCAAACGGAGTGCTTGGCGTGGGCTTGGGTCTGGCTTAACCCCAGCAGGGACAGGCATTTTGGGAGTGAGTGAATGGCTGGAAGATGTGTGTCTCTCCCTCTCTCTATCCCTCTGCTTTCCAAATAAATAGGGAAATAAGTGTTACATAAGAAAAAGGAAGGGGACAAAAAAAAACAACAAACAAAAAATTTGGAAGCATCTCTCCAGACGAGATTGACCAAGGCCCCAGCAAACAGCAGCAGGATGAAGAAGGGGCCGGAGGACAGATTTTATAGACGCTAAAACGAGGAGAGAATGCGCTCAGGGATGTAATGGGAAGCTCCCCAGCACAGCGCATCTCACCAAAATTGATGCGAGAACAGACGGTGTGAGCCACAGACATGGAATCCGCCACCAGCAAATCTTCCCCCGAAAACGCCAGCCAGGAGCCAGCGCGATTTGCTGTGTTTTCACTGATCCAGTGTGTATGCTCTAGGACAGTCTGCAGCTACAAAGCCTGCTGGAGACCCTGAACTGTCCCCCCACCCAGGATGTGTGCTGTCCCCCACCAACACGAGCAGCAGAGTCCACACCTTGCCCAGATGTCCTTTGTGACACCCTCAGATCCCATCCAGGATGCCACGTCATGCCCTGCCTCCTCTCACCGGGGCTGGCCCCTCAGATCGACTTTCCCGGCCTGGACAATCTTGGCCGTGTGGGATCTCTCCCGACAGTCTAGTGCATTTTCCATGATGTGACAGGCTTATGGATTTAAGGCAGGAAAGTCATGGGCATAAAGCACTCCTGGGCATCCAACTTGTGTCAGGATGGCTATATGGGTGTGGCTTTTGCTGCTGATGCTGGCCAGGTGTGCATGACAGGTGTCCCGTGGCTGTGGGAAGTTTGCTCCAGCTCCATTTACACAAGCTAGCCAGTTCTTCTGGATGGGAGGATGGTCTCTTCCCAGGATTTCTTCATCAGTCCTAATGACCTCAGACAGCACTCCTGAATGTTTGACACTTTGGGTTATAACCTAAGAAGACTTGACTGTGTTGATCAAATAGGTACACACACTTAAATTTTGAGAGCACCTAATAGCAACTTTGTGGCAGGTTTAGAGCACTGTGGTTAAGTTTTGAACTAAATGATGCCCATGCAGCCACCCCCACAATCAAGACAGGGAACATTATCTGTCATGCCACCCCCCCCCCCCGGCAAATTGTTCCTGCCTGCTGCTCTTGCCACCTGCAGGCAGTCCCCAACTTGTCTAGTGCACAGATGTAAACAGACATCAGCCTAACTCTCAGGGCAGGTGGCACAGCTGCCCTCTGTGGTTGGTACAGCAGGCTCCTTAAAAAATGTGGGAGTCAGGCCCTGTATGGTGGCCTAGTGGCTGAAGTCCTTGCCTTGCATATGACAGGATCCCATATGGGTGCCGGTTTGTGTTCTGGCGGCCCCGCTTCCCATCTAGCTCCCTGCTTGTGGCCTGGGAAAGCAGTCAAGGACAGCCCAAAGCCTTGGGACCCCGCACCCACATGGGAGACCCGGAAGAGCTCCTGGCTCCTGGATTTGGTTTGGCTTAGCTCTGGCCATTGTGGTACCCTGGGGAGTGAATCATCAGATGGAGGATCTTCCTCTCTGTCTCTCCTTCTCTCTGTGTGTCTAACATTCCAAAAGGAATAAAATAAATCTAAAAAAAAAAAAATGGGTGTTAAGGGTCTCAATTTATTGGATTCAAACATCTTTGAAGTATATGCATACTTTTTTTCACATTACACATATTCCATGAACTCAGATTTTTGTAAAAAAAAATAATAATAATATTTTAGAGGCAGAAAAAGATGCCCCCTGCTGCTTCATTCCCCAGTGTCTGCAGCCGCAGTGGGACCTGAGCCAGGCCCGACCCAGGAGGGGAAACTCACTCCGGGTCTCCAACGTGGGTGACAGGGGTCCAACCGCTCAAGCTGTCGTCATCAGTCCCTGGAACGAGCTGGAGCCAGGAGCTAGAGGTACGCATCTCAAATCCAGCTGCTCCCGTGCGGGATGTGGTCATCTTTTCTTTCTTTTTTAACATATACATATATATTTATTTGAAAGTTCTGATTACAGAGAAAGAGGGGGAGACACAGAGAGAAGAGATCTTCTAGGGCTGGTGCTGTGGTACGATGGTTTAAGCCATAGCCTGTGATGCTGGCTTCCATATGGGTGAGGGTTCGAGTCCCAGCTGCTCCCCTTGGGATGTGGCTCCCCAATGGTGCATCTGGGAAAGCAGAGATGGTGGTCTGAGTATTTGGGTTCCTGCTGCCCACGTGGGAGACCCTAGTTCTGGGCCTGGCCTGTTTGGGGAGTGAGCAAGAGTGTCTCTCCTTCTTTCTCTGCCTTTCAAATAAATGAAAGCAAAGAAGATGGAATAGGAGAAAAGAAAGAATCTTCTATCTACTGGTTCACTCCCCAATGGCCAGGGTTGGACCAGGCCAAGGCCAGGAGCCTGGATCCACCCAGGACTCTCACAGGGGTGGCCCGGACCCAAGCAAACACTTGGGGTATTTCCACTGTTTTCTTCCTTTATTTCCTTTTAAGATTTATTTTTATTTGAAAAGCAGATTTATGAAGAGAGAAGCAGACACAGAGAGGTCTTCCATCCACTGTTCACTCCCCAGTGGCCAGAGCTGGGCTCTGTCTGAAGCCGGGAGCCAGGAGCTTCCTCCAGGTCTCTCCTGTGGGCACAGGGGTCAAACACTTGAGCCATCCTTTGCTGCCTTTCCAGGCCCCTTAGCAGGGAGCTGGATCAGAGGTGGATCAGCTGAGTCCAACCTTACGGAATGCCGGCACTGCAGGTGCAGGGTTAGCACACTGTGCCGTGGTGCCAGTTTCTTCCTATTCCCTTTCCAGGCGTATTACGCAGGGAGTTGGATGGGAAGTGGAGCAGCCTGGACTGGAACCAGTGTTGGGATGCTAGCATTGAAGGAAAAAGATTGCCCTCATGTAAAAGTTGGAGCAGAATCAGGGCAAGATGTGGGGCATAGCCCCAGGTACAGGGGTACAGGGGACAGAGAGAAGGGGTGAGCTAGACGCAGGGCCAGCAGGGAGGGTGAGGTGGGGTGGAGTCAGAGACAGGATGGTAGGATTCCTTCCCCTGTCAGGGGCTGCTGCTGGCTTTGGCACCGTGGTGCGCAGTCCTGGGGCTCCCTGGCCATCTAGCAGGGCTGTGCCGGGTGCTGGCCACAGATGGGTGGCCAAAGGCCTGCAGAGTTAAGGAAGAGGCAGTGCAGGGTCGGGGCAGTGCCCCCCAATTCGAACTGGACATCAATCCCAGAGAAATCTTAGCTAGAGCAGCAGAACTTGGCCAAGGGGCTGGCCTTGGGCTTCCCTCCCTCACGCAGCCCAGAGAGGCTCTGTGGTCCACCTCTCTGGCCTCCAGCCCCTCCTAGCCCTCTCCTTTATTTGGTCCCAATCCAACCAGCAATCATTCCCACCTCGCAGACAAGGAAATAGCTTGCAGAAGGTGAAAAGCAGACGGCTGTCAGCTGTACAACTCAACTCTGAATGAAATCCCCAAAGGGCGAATGCCCGCTCCCATTCCCGGGCTGCCTCAGTTTCCTCCTTTGCAAACGGGGCCGGTCACTTGCACGTCGCGATTGCTGTGGCGTCCAGGGTCCCGCTCCCGGGTGCACGCCCGCAGCATCTTCCGCGCCTTAAATCAGGGTCCAGCCAGAGGCGGGGGCTCTTCAGAGCCTGTCAATCCCCCATCCCGCCTCCGCCGCAGCCCTCGGGGTCGCGGCCTCCAGGAAGCCATTCCGTCCTTCCCTCCGCCTGGGCCCCGCCCACGCCGTGACCCCGCCCCTCACGCTCCGCCCTCTCCACGAGCCCCGCCCCCGGTCGCTGGGCGGGGCCAGCCCGGGGCTGCCCGCGCCGAAGCCTGATCAATAGAAACCGACACTCGCGACCGGGGCGAGCGCCGCCGGCCGAGCGGGGCGGCCTGGGACTCCCCGCTTCTCCCGGTCCCGCCCCTGGAGACCTGAGGCTGCACGAACGGGCCCTTCGGTTCGGGCGAATCGGAGACACCCGGCTTCCAAGGCCCCTTTTAGGGCTGGGGAAAATGTTATGGTTCAGGTCACAGCACGAGGCACCCAGTGCTGCGGGAGGGCGGAGACTTTGGGGTCGGGCCCCTCGGCGCCTTCGCGCGTGGAGGTCACTCGGCCGGCGTCAGTTTGCTTCGAGCGGGGCCTGAGGCACAGCTGAGCAGCCGCGCAGGACAGCCGGCCACCCGGCTAGGCGGACGGAGGGGCCCCGGCGCTCGGCCGGGCTCCCGCCGAGACCCACGCCGCTAGCCTCCTTCGGCCGCGCCCGGCGTGTTTCTGTGGGTGTTCCGGACGCGGAGGCCGAAGCTCCCCGAGGCCCGAGGGGTCTGCCGGGCCCGGCTGGGCACGCCCCTTTGTCCCCCTCCCCGGGCGGTGCACGGCGTGCCGCCCCGGCCCCGGCGGCCACCGTCGGCTCTCGGCCCCTTTAAGGACGCCGGCGCGGCTGCAGTCTCGGTTGCTCGCGCCCGCCCGAGCCGCCGGCGGAGCGAACATGGCCCTGACGGCGCGCGCGGTGCGGGGGCTGTGTCCGGGCCTGGGTGCCCTGGCCGGGAGGCCGGCCGGCCGCCGCTGGGCCCCGCTGCTCGAGCGCCGCGCCGGCCTCGCGGGCGCCTCGGGCCCCGCCGCCGGCCCGGGCTGGGGGCGCTCGCGGCTGCTGGGGGCGGCGGCGCTGGCCCTCGGGGGCGGCCTGGGGCTGTACCACACGGTGCGCTGGCGGCTGCGCCGGGCGGACGTGCTCGCCGAGCGCTCGGCCGTGCAGGTGAGGCCCGGGGCTCCCCGGAAGGCTCGGGCTGCGGGCGGCTGACCTTGGGCGCGGGTGTCCCGCACCGCTCCCTTCTGCCACTCCCACCCCGTTTCTTTCCCGCTGGCTCATCTCCCCCACACGGGTACGCGTTTGCGGGGGTCTCACCGGCTCCTCCTGCCCTCTGCCCAGCTCTCCCTGTCCGGCCGCCTGCAGCTCACGCTCTACCAGTACAAGACGTGTCCCTTCTGCAGCAAAGTTCGGGCCTTCCTGGACTTCCATGCCCTGCCCTACCAGGTGGTGGAGGTGAACCCCGTGCGCCGCGCCGAGATCAAGTTCTCCGCTTACAGGAAGGTGCCCATACTGGTGGCGCAGGAAGGGGATAGCTTGGTGAGCCCTGGCCCCCTGACCCCCAGCTCCAACCCTGGAAGGACCCTGTGACCCCGGCTGGTGTACAGCAGGTGCCCTGGGGCAGGTGCAATGCAGAAGGGCAGTATGGCAGGTGCTCCCCAAGTGCGGGCCCTGGAGCCCCCTGTGGGTTCTCAGCTGGGCTAGCTGGTCACCAGGAGCCACTCGCTGGCCTCTGGGCTGGCACCTGTGAAATGCCTGGCACGGTACGCGGCACCTATGGCATTTACCCTGCCCCTCGCCTGGGAGCCCAGGAGGGTGGCTCTGGCTGGGACAGGTGCCTGGAGCGGCTTGGTGCACGCGGGGCAGAAGGACGGTAGCAGTGTCCACGCTGCAGTGCCCGTGGGTTGAGCAGCCCCTCGTGTCCCGCCTGGGATCCTCCTCCCCGTGTCAGCCATGCCGGCTCCTGACCACGGGCGCCTCCTCCCCCAGCAACAACTGAACGACTCCTCCGTCATCATCAGCGCCCTCAAGACCTACCTGGTGTCGGGGTAAGGGGCCGCCCAGTGCCAGCGCGGGGTGGGGTGGCTGGGGGCGTCCTGCACAGGCCCGAAGGCCTCCCCGCCTCCCCCTACAGAGGGGCGTCTGGTCGGGGTGTCCCCCGAACTCCACTCGTGTAGGCCGGGGTGCGGGGCACGGCAGCGGGAGGGGTGTGTGGACGGCGGGAGGAAGGAGCATGGGGCTGACCCGCACGGTCCGTCCCGAAGGCAGCCGCTGGAAGAGGTGGTCACCTACTACCCGCCCATGAAGGCCGTCAACGAGCAGGGCCGCGAGGTGACCGAGTTCTGTAACAAGTACTGGCTCATGCTGGAGGAGGAGGAGGCGCGGAGGCTGTACGGAGGGAAGGAGGCCCGCACGTGAGTGGGCGGGGCCTCGGAGGGCGGGCCTCCCGGGCGGGCGGGGCCAAGCATGGGCGGGCAGGGGTCTCGGGAGGGCGGGGTCTCGGGAAAGGGGCGGTCTCCCGGGTGGGCGGGGCCTCGGTGGGCGGGCCTCCCGGGTGGGTGGGGCCGGGCGGGGCCAAGCATGGGTGGGCAAGGGTCCCTGGAGGGCGGGGCCAAGCATGGGTGGGCGGGGTATCGGGAAAGGGGCGGTCTCCCGGGTGGGCGTGGTTAGAGGCGGGGCAGGGTCCCTGGAGGGCGGGGCCAGCAGTGGGGTGGGGCTCTCTGGAGGGGGCGTGGTTCCGTGACACCTGCCCAACCCGCCGCTCTTGTCCCGTCCGCAGAGAGGAGATGAAGTGGCGGCAATGGGCTGACGACTGGCTGGTGCACCTCATCTCCCCCAACGTGTACCGCACGCCCTCCGAGGCCCTGGCCTCCTTCGACTACATTGTCCGGGAGGGCAAGTTTGGGGCCGTGGAGGGCGCCATGGCCAAGTACGTGGGGGCAGCCGCCATGTACCTCATCAGCAAACGCCTCAAGAGCAGGTGAGGATGCCCGGTGGTGCGTGTGTATGTGTGCTTGCACACGTGTGTGCAGGTCAGCTGTCCCAAAAGTCCACCAGGTGGGCGAGCTGCGGCTCCCCCAGCCCTGCCTTCCCCAGGCCCCTGCCCCAGCCTGTTCCTCCCTCTGCCTCCCCGGACTTCTCGCTCCCATCAGGGACCAGGCCCTCGGCTTCCCGCTGTTGCCCTGCCCACCAGGCTGGCAGGATTCTGATGTTCTCCCTGCACAGGCACCACCTCCAGGATGACGTGCGAGAGGACCTCTATGCTGCCGCCAACAAGTGGGTGGCCGCTGTGGGCGGGGAGCGGCCCTTCATGGGGGGCCAGAGGCCGAACCTCGCGGACCTGGTGAGTTGGGGCCGCTGTGTCTGTGGCGGAGATGGGAGGGGAGGGAGGCCTGGGGAGGGGAAGCCCGAGCGATGCCCACGCCCCCAGGCCTCACTCTGACCCACGCCCTGGCTGTGCCCTGACCCCAGCGGTGCTGACGGCCTGGTGGGTGGAGTTCCCGGGTTCCTTGCCCAGCAAAGACAGACATTTTGGGGGCAGAAGGGAACTCTCTGCCTCAGTGTTTAACAGGAGGGAGAGTCGGGGCCCGCCTGGACACGCCCCTTTGTCCCCGTCCCCAGGCAGTGTATGGCGTGCTGCGGGTCATGGAAGGGCTGGAGGCCTTTGAGGACCTGATGCGACACACTCACATCGGGCCCTGGTACCTGCGGGTGGAAAAGGCCATTGCCGAAGCGCCCCACGTGCACTGATGGCTTCCCGCGGGGCTGTGCTGGAGTAGGGGTGGGGTCCTCCCGCCCACCCCAGTTCTGGGGCCCTGGACTGTGGGAGAAAGCCCAGCCCAGCCTCCGTTTGCGTTCGCCACCCGCTGTGTGGTGGAAGGACACTCCCTCTCCCACCTGCAGTGATGATCTCAGGAGCCCCCGCTGCCACCTGGGCCTCTCCTGGCCTCTCAGTGGCTGCCCGTCCCTCCAGGCCAGTGGGAAGTCCCAGCTTCCTCAGGCAACTGGGACTCTGCAATAAAGATGGTTTACGTGTGGTGGCCATGTCAAGGTCCATGTGGCTGCTGGTCCAGGCAGGCTTTGGGCTCTGCACCCCAACCCTGGGAAGGCCATTGTGTGTCCAGGGCTTCCTCAGTGTCGGACCTGGGGACAGGCCAACAGAGTGGATCCCTGTGGCAGGGTGCAGGGCCGTGGGAGCCAGACCCTGGGTGTGTGGGCTGTCCTTGCCCTGGCCAGCTGTGGGCCCTGGCAGGTTCCTGGTCACTCTGCAGATGAGCAGGGTCCCTTGGAGTGCAGGCGGCTGCCTTGTGCTTCACTCCCAGGCTGGGATGGGTCCTGCTGGGGGTGACCAGTGTGGTGGCTTCCTGGGGGAGAGTGGGGTCATCCAGGGAGACCTATGGGGCATGTCCTGTGGGGGTGACCCGGCCCCTGCCTGCCTGCACCGGCTTGGTTTCCCCTGGGACCCCAGATTCCCAGTGTTCCTTGTTAATCCTAGGACTGGTTTCCTTTTATCAGGGGCTTGGGCCTCTCAGTCAAGGCCACTATGGAGCGCCACCTGGGCCTGGTCCTCCCAAACCCTGTATCCTGCCCCAAAGGGGAAACATCCTGCCTTAGTTTCCCCAGGTAGTTTTCAATCAGGAACGGCATGTTCCCACTACGACCACGAGAGGACGCGAGAGGTTGCGAGGCCTTGTGCTCTAGGGCAGACGGCCTGGTGCTGCCACCTTGTGTGCACCTCTAGAATTGACTGGACTTCATTAAGGGGCCCTATTTGCCCATCTGTGGGAGGATGAAACAGCAGGCCTCTGCAGGGAGAGCCGGAGACCCTCTGTCACACTCAGATCGCAGCTTTGATGGTGGCAGAAGGCCATGCCACTGCTCACCGTCCACAATTTTCAAATATTTATTTATTTTTATTGTAAAGTCAGATATAGAGAGGAGGAAAGAGAGGAAGATCTTCCATCCGATAATTCACTCCCCAAGTGACCACAATGGCTGGAGCTGAGCCAATCCGAAGCCAGGAGCTCTTCCTGGTTTCCCAGGTGGGCGCAGAGTCCCAAGGCTTTGGGCCGTCCTCAACTGCTTTTCCGGGCCACAGGCAGGGAGCTGGATGGGAAGCAGGGCCGCCGGGATTAGAACCGGCGCCGATATGGGATTCTGGTGCATTCAAGGTGAGGACTTTAACCACTAAGCTATCACCCCGGCCCAGGTTCAGTGTTTTCATTACAATTTTAAAGCTTCATTTGGAGGGGCTGGCGCTGGAGTGCAGCAAGTTAAGTTGTTGCTTGTGATACCAGTTCAAGTTGCAGCTGCTCTGCTTCCAACCCAGCTCCCGGTAAATGCAGCCAGGGACCGCAGCACCCACCTGGGAGACTGTGGGAGTTCCTGGCTTTGGCCTGGCCCAACCCGGGCTGTCATTTGGAGAATGAATCAGCATGTGATTTCCCTAACCTCTCTTCCTGTCACTCTGCCTTTTGATTAAATGCATATATTTTAAAGGAGGCCTTCTTAGTTATGCAGATACTACGTGTCCATACATGTTGCTTATAGATAGAAATTACAGATAAACAAACAAGAAATCAGATATAGGAGCCCTGTTGCATGGAGAGTTAAGCTTCTGCTAGCAGCAGTAACATCCCATACAGGCACAGGTTAGTCCCAGCTGCCCCACTTCTGATCCAGCTCCCTGCTACTGCACCTTCGAAGGAGGCGGAAGATGGTCAAGGACTTGGGCCCCTGCACCCACATGGGAGACCTGGGTGGAGTTCCTGGCTCCTGGCTTCTGCCTGGCTCAGCTCTGGCTGTTGCCATTTGGGGAGTGATCCAGCAGGTGGAAGGTTTTTTTTTCCCCTTCCTCTGTAACTCTGCCTTTACAATAGATTATTTACTTAAGAAGCACAGTTGGCACAGTTTATTTCCGCCATCCCGTGGCAGATGGAGCCCACAGGCAGGACACCCTCAGGTACCTAGCATTTACTGTAAACAGTTCCGTGGGACCTACTTGCTGCCATGTGCCACGTCAAACATTTGACATTGAGTCCTATGAGGTCAGCAAGAAATCCCCATTGCACAGATGAAGAAACTGAGGTCCAAATGTTAAGTGACTTGCCCAGCATGGCCCAGCCAGCAGGTGATAGGCTTTGAAGCCAGGAAGGGCTTGCGGGCCTGTGGCCTTAGCACAAGGTTATTTTGCTCTTAGAAGGATCTGGATTTTTAAAATAAAAATTCCAATCATAGTGGAGTTGCCTGACCATGACGTGCCCAGGTCACTGCCATTTCTGTTCTCATGGGTTTCCACAGCCCACTGCCTCCTGCTAGATGGCAGTCCCTGATGTATTTTACCCAAGGGGGTGGGAACGTTTAGATGGGTGGGGCGGTCACGGGCAGCCGTGTTGGAGGGGGAGCGGAGTGCTGGGCTGCCCAGAGCCCCCATTACAATCAGCTCTGAAGCCCTGGGGCCTGAGGTTGTCCCCTCTGGTGGCCGTGCTGTAGATGCCACTGTTAGTCGTGTGGCAGGGAGATGGCCCAGGGCATGCCTGTACGTGTCCTCCCGTGGGCAGCTAGCTGGGGAGAGGTTGGGCAGCTGAACGCAGCGTGTAGCGATGATGGCTCGTATGCCACAGATGTGTACTTGGGTGGCAGCAGCCCCGAGAGCACCCTCCTGGCTCAGCCTGTGTTCCAGGTGACAAAGCAGGCGGGACTTCACAGTGGTCTCACAGGGGAGCGGGGTGGCCTGCCCCAAGCCCCTCCTGCGCTGCTCCGCAGCCCCTGGCCTCAGCTGGGCCCCTCTGGCCTGCCATGGCCTCCGGGGCCTGGACTGCTGGCTGACAGAGGGGCGGCCCCGAGGACAAGGAACAAAGTCCCCTGAGCACTGGGTGGCCGCACAGGTCCCTCCCCTTCCTGCTTCCCTGACTTGTGACCCGCTCTGACCAGGCCAAGCCGGGTCACAGTGTTCGGAAACCTTGAGCTCCCAGGCCTTGACACTGACCCTTGGTCTGAACCCCAGGCCGGTCCACCTCCAGGAAGCTACAAGGCAGGGACTGTGCCTGTCGGCTGGGCAGGAAGCCAAGGGTCCCAGAAGGCTGGAGACTGACCGCTTGCCTGCCCCTTACAGATTCTGTGTGGTCAGGAGTGTCCCATCCTTCAGACACATGTGCCGGCAGCCATGGAGCTCACCCATGTGTGCCAGCAGGTAGACCCCTAAGTACACATGGTGAGGTTCTAAATGGGGCCCTTCCCTTCTGGAGACTTCCAGCCCTTATGGGTAATAAGCACACATCCCAGGTCTGCTCCCAGCTTGGGGGTGGGTGGCCTCTCTTCTGCTTTGAGGGCAGGGCTGACAGGTGGAGCGGCGGGCTGGGGGAGAGTCAGAGCCCTGCAGGTACTTGCCTCGCCGTGTACATGGAGACACCGAAGGTATGCTGGATTGACAAATCTGCAGTTATCTCAAGTATAAAATGAGTCACTTGAAGACAGAAGAACCAGACTGAGTCCTGGCTGCTCCGCTGGCAACGCAGCTCCCAGCTGATGTGCATGAAAGCATCAGAGAAATGCCCCAAGTGCCTGCTGCCCCATGGGAGACCCGGAAGGAGTGCCAGGCTCCTGGCTTCGGTCTGGCCCAGTCCTGCCCAGTGCAGCCATGTGGCAGGAAGTGAACAGATCGTTAATAAGCCAGTAGGGGCAGAGTGTCCTCTAAGGTCGGGCAGCGGCCCAGTGGTGTTTGTGCCTCCTGAGCTGGCGCTCCAAGCAGGTGGGGCTGGGGAAGGACCAGGCCACCCTGCAGTGGGTCCTGCAACGCTCGCACCCCACCCTGCACCCCTCGGCCCATGTCCAAGAAATCCTGCCTCGCACCGATGAGCTTATGAAATAACTTTATTAGAAGGCTGTTTTCAATGACAACTTCAAGACTTTCTCACCAGCTCTGGACAAGTCCCAGTTATCACCCTGTGTAACAATCATGTTTGCACTGATTTTCGCTCCCTACTTAAACTCCATCAGGCGTCTCTGGGGCGATGAGGGCACTGCTAAGGTCAGGTGGCCAGTGCTACGAGCAGAGCAGCTGAGAAGGGAGCCCGCTCCACGGATGGGTGGGGGCAGAGCAGCCTCCACCGCAAACCCACCAAACCTTGGCCTTCAGAAGGGCTGAAATCAATACCTCCTCCGAGTCTGGAAGCCTCGGCCCATCTTCCACCTCACTGTGATTTCGGCTTCTCCCCCAGGCTCCCCCTCTGGCCCTGGGCCCCTGAGGCTGCCTGGGGGCCACTGGGGGCCAGCCCTGACCTGGCCTGCCTCAATGTCTTCCACCCAGGACCAGGCCGCCTCCCTTCTGGCCTTATTTCTCTGTAATTCCACATGGGAAGCGGGTGGTGCCTCCACAGCGCCACCAGGTGGTGTTGGGAGGTACAACTGACCGTAAACATAAATATGAATAAAAAAATGAACTTGAAAATGACAGGCTATCCATTCAACAAATCTATAAAAATAGTTAGGACATAACTCTGTTCAAATAAATACAAAATAAATAGGCTCCAAGCAGTGACACGTGGCGTCAGTGGAATGTGAGGCTGGTCCCATGGGCTCCACAAGCTGGGCCACAGCACCCCAGCCCCACCCAGGGCGCCGACACAGACTCACTCGCGGGACAGCAGGGGCTCACTTCCTGTCCTCCCTCCAGAAGCACAGGGCTGCTGCTCGCCCAGCTCCCTTCTAAACAGAACCTTCTCCCCAACATCATGGTTAAGGCTGCTGCCGCCGTGGCGCGGTCTTGCTGGGGCGTCCCTTCTGCCCGCCACCCTGAACCCAACTGTCCACTGTCCCACAGTGGGCTGGGTCAGTCAGAGCAGAGGCTCTGGGCAGCCATGCGACCCTCATGCACACGTGATGTCCAGGTGCCTATGTGTGCATGAATTCAGAAGAGGGTGGGCACCTGAGTCAGACCCCATCGTGGTGCCCGCACAGGTCAGTCCTGTGGCTGCAGGTGCAGAGGGTGGGGGCTGCCAGCCCCTGCTCCCCAGTCAGAGCAGCAGAGGGGGAAGCGATGGGGAAGGCTGATTCGACCTCGAGAGCAGATGGGAGCTGCCTGGGGGCCTGCCGCCACCTGCAGGCACCATAAGAGACGCCTGCACTCAAGCTGTGCCCGCGGCCTTCCTGCCAGCTCTGCCCCATTCTCCCAGCTTGGCTCAGGCGGCTTTAGTGTTGGCACATTCACAGAATGAGATGGCTCCATGTCCCGGGGCCGTCACCGTGACTGCACACCCAGGGTTATCTTGAGGTTCTCATATACCACGTAGCTGATGCTCACGGCCGGGATCACCTTCATGAAGTTGGGGGCCAGCCCCCGGTACAGCCCGAAGGCCCCCTCGGTCCGCAGGATGTGCTTGAAGAGGCTGCTCATGGTCACCTCCGGGGCGCCCTCCACGGATGCTGCAGAGAGAGGCCACCCATGGTCAGTGGCTGCTGTCTGTAGCACCTGTCACCCCCCAGCCCGCCTGAGCACAGGCCCCAGGGCCTTGCCTCACCTTGTGCCTGCATCCGGGTCCTCACCAGGGCCAGGGGGTAGCTGGCCAGCTGGCCGCAGGTGCTGGAGACGGTGCCACAGGCCAGCAGCACGAACACGCCAGGATCCGCACTGTTGACTGCGTAGCGCTGCAGCCACGTGTTCTTGAGCGTCTAGAGGGGGAGGGGCGGGCTCTGGAGTGACTTGGCAGGGGAGGAGGGGAGAGCCCCTGCATCGCACTGGAGCCGTTCCCTCGTCACGCGGGGCCACTTGATGTGCTGGGCTCGGGCCCTGCCCAGCTCCTGACTGCCTGCCTTAGGTTTCTGCTGTCGCTGGACAGGAAGCAGAGGGGGGCAAGCACCTGCTTTGTGCAGCCTGCAGAGTGGCCATGCTGAGGGTCTGCTGCCAAGCCCCCTGTGCTCAAACCCCAAGGACAGGGTTCAATGGAACTGTACTGGGAGGTGCCAGGGACCCTTACAGCAAGCACATGAGCCAGAAGGAGAAGTCGTCCCTGGCGTGTCCCCTGTGCATGGGCCTGGGGGGGGGCAGGACACATGGACACACACACACACACACACACACACACACACACACACACACACACACACAGGCCTGCTCACCTCATAGACAGCGAGGTCGATGCCGGCATAGGGGATGATGCCCAGCATGTTGGGCACATAGCCTTTGTAGAAGGCTGCCACCCCCTCTTTGGCCAGGATCCTGCGAGCACAGTCCAACATGCCTGAGTACTGGCCAGTTTTGCGCAGGGCCATTCGGGTCTTCAGAACCTGGCACGACAGGATAGCAGGGAGGGTAAGTGCCACCTGCCCTCCCCACCTCGGTTCCCCTAGTTCTCTGTCACCCCGACGGAGACCCAGGTGCGTCTCACCTCCATTGGGTAGATGCTGCTCTGGGCAATGGCCCCGGCCAGGGAGCCAGCCACAAGTCTCTCATGAATCCTCAGGGTCTCCTGGTCACTCCCGACGAGACGCTTGATCTAGAACAGGAGCCAGCAGTTCCATCAGCCACCGCACCTGTGACCACGGCACCTGGACCTGCCTCAGCCCTCCACGGCTGGGCACCATGGCTGAACCCCCCTGGGCTCGGCCCATTCTGGGCTGCCTGCAGGTGAGGAACTGACCCAGAGCAAAGTAGCTGGCAGAGCTGGGGTCAGGCCCAGGCCTCCTCGCCCGCAGGGGTAGCACCTGCTGATGGGCAGGCGACTCTCACCTGCTCGTAGGCCATGAACTTGATGGCCGACTCGGGGGCAATCTTGAGGACATTGATGCCGTTGCCCCGCCACAGGGCCTTGGTCCCCCCCTCACGGATCATCTGTGTGAAGCCACCCACGATGCACATGTTGTTGCTGCGGGAGGCGTGCACCTGCCGGGGAGGGAACAAGGTGAGGCAGGTGCTGTGGCCCAGGGAAGACACCAGGGACAGTTCCTCTGCTCAGGCGGCAGGAGGCAGGAGGGCTCCCACTCCTTAATATTCTGAAGCTAAACTGGGGATCTTTGGATTAAACAGAGCCAACTTGAGAGCCAGTGGGCTTTCCTGGGCAGCTGCCAGCACTGTGCTCAGCAGCCCTGGAAGGACCTTGCCACTGCAAAGACAGTGGAACTGCAAGCCTCCTTCAGAGCTCCTGTCCCCACCTATGGGCTGCTTCTTGGCTGGGGGGACGGCCACATGGCCGAGGTTGTGTCACAGAGCCACTGGGAGGCCCAGTCTGGCCCCTGGAGAGAGCTGGGATGGGAGAGAGAGAGGGAGGGAGGGAGACAGGGCCAAGTCCAACCTGAAGCTCTGTTCCCTGAACTGAACCCTCCCCTCCTGGGGGCTGGAAGAGCCCACATTCGGTCCCAGGCCAAGAGCCAAAGGGCAGGATGACAGCTCTAGTGAGCAGAGCTCTGGGCACACAATGGGCCAGCTGCACCAGGGATCAAGGCCTGGCCCGTCTCTGCAGACAGGCACCCAAGTCCAACAGGGCACCCTCGGGTGCATCCGTTGTATAACGCCGGCTCTGACATCAGCCTTGCTTATCTGTGCCCTGTGGACGTGGAACTGCACATCTGGCTGGGATGACGGGCTCACAGTGGCAAACGGGTCAGGTGAGGACCCAGAGGGCCACTGTGCCACATGTGCTAAGGAACTTGGTTCCTGCTGCACCTCACCTCATGGGGCCAGCTTAGGCCCCTGTAATGCAACACCTGGCTGAAGTGCTCAGATAAAATTAGATTAACTGCTTGCAAAAAAGGTCATGGGTACCTTGGAACAGTAATTCTAGCCCCACTCACTGGGCCAGAAAGTTCTAGAAACAGTAGGGCCCAGCCGTGAGGCAGAGTTCAGGACCACTTACCTGCATGAGCACCTTCAGTCTGTCCAGGGGGGCTGTGCAGGTCCTGGACACGGCCCCCGCCCCACCGCCGGCCACCAGGTGCCGCCACCACATCCCGGTCTGCCTCTCTTCCACCGTGAACTCATCAGGCACCGTCAGGTTCTCACCCACATCAAAGATCTGGGAGGCGATGACAGAGTGAGCCTTGCTGCCCTGCCCTGTGCCTTCCACCTGCTCGCCGGGCCTCACGCTGCGAGCCCGAGCCTTCCCTGCTGCCACCTGAGCTCTCAGCTTGGGGAGGGCCAGGCTGAGGCGCCTGGGGGATCGGTTATACAACCACAGGCACAGCCTCTACGCAGGGAACTTGGTCAGGAGTGGGGGTGGGTGGGGGTGCGGGAGAGCCAGGGCCGGCTGCACTGAAAGGATCACGTCAGGAGTAAAATCCTCTGAAACCCAATGTGTAACCAGATCGTGCTGGCAGAACATTCTGCAAGGCCTCAGCAAACATGAGGGCCACGTTGCCTCGAGCGCCCTGACTCTGGGTGGCACCCATGCTGGTTGGTGCCAGCCAGTTCTGCTCTGAGCCCAGGGCTGCAGGCCAGGACTGGCAGGAGGGGCAGACTCAGCACGCATCGGGGTCTTGGGCACAGTAGGTGGGGTCAAAGGGCAGGGGACCCCTCACTGCCCCACAACAGCTCTTGTCCTTCAGCTGTAGGACAAAGGGCATGCGAGACTGGGGGTGGGGTGACGACACCTGCCTGACCCGGCTGCCCTGCTCACCGTGGAGTGCTTCCAGTAGAGGATGATCTCGGGGATGTTCTCCACGGGGTGCAGCAAGTGGTAGTCCCGCCACTCGTTCCAGTCGATGGTCATTGTGCCATTTTTATCCATGCTGCAAGATGGCATCGGCGTGAGCCTACCCGTGCCATCTGCCCCGACCCCAGCTGCACACTGTGCTGGGGCAGGGGCCACAGCAGGTGCCTCCACCCCGGGGTGTGTGTGGGTGCCACACTGCTCCGCAGTCTGGAGGGCAACCAGGCCCCGAGCACCCTGTTCCCATCAAGTGGAGCAGTTGGAGCGGGGAGGCAGCAACCGAATAGGGCAACACGGGTACTTACTAGGTGACAGGGCCCCAGAAGTGGCCCGTCCGTATTCTGACAGACAGACAGACAGGGTAGGATGCAGAGGAGAGAGGAGAAACAACACACGTGAGTGCCCGGGTGGACAGCAGGAGCACACGTGAGTGCCCGGGTGGGCAGTGCAAGCACACGCGAGAACAGTGCAGGGGAGGAACACGGCACAGGCCCCAGCGAGGGACGGGGTGGGGGCTGTGTCCTGGGATAAGCCAGCATCAGAGGACGCCTTGGCCATGAGAGAGAGGTGGGACTGAGTACAAGCCACCTCTTGGTGACAGTGTGCAAAGCAAGTCCCCAGGCTGGGACAAAAGATTCCCACCCCCTACCCACTCTGTGCACGGAGAAAGGCCTGGAACAGGTGCAGGCACCAGGGTTGCTATGTCAGCCCATCTCTGCCCTCCGCCAGGTGCTCACCTTTTGAGAATCTTTTCCGCCTGCTGCTCGGATATCTTGACCCCCAGGTCCCGCAGGGACTGCATGATCTCCTGGGCGTCGATCCGTCCTGGGATGACAAGGACTGTGAGCATGTGCCCGGGCAATGGAGGTGCCCGGGCCGGGCCAGTCGGGGCTCAGGGCACTCACTCACCATCGTTCTTCTTGTCCAAACTCTTAAACACCAGTCGCAGCTTCTTCTCGTGGTCCTGGAGGTAATGGACAAACTCCTCAAAGTCCAGCTGCCCGTCAAGGTCCTTGTCGCCAGCCTGCACGATTTTCTAGAACACAAAAACAGCGTTCTGTGTTTGAGCTCCTTTTGAGGCTCCTTCTCCTGGACCTGCTAATCTGTGAACAGAGGCGCCTGTGACCGGAGTTTCCACAGCCCCTGCTGTGTTGTTCCCAGCTCCTTGCTACACCTGGGAGCGGCCCTGGCTCAGGAACCCCTTTGTGGTCAGAGTGAAGCTTTGGGGAGCAACCGATCCTGCCATCACCTGCCTGGCAGGAACACAGCCCATGGGGCACTTGGGAGGGGCAGAAGCCGGGCCAATTGTTCTCAGACCCAGGCTCAAGAGCACTGCCACCCCTGATCACCTCCACCTCCTGGCCAGCTCCACCTGCTGAAAGTTTAGTGAGTCGAGGAGGCTTTGAGAGACTTTGTCTCCTGGCCAGGAGGTGCCAGGACTTGTCCTGGCTTTGGGTTGCTCAGCTCCTATCACCCCCACGCTGACCTGGGGTGGCACTGGAGCCGGGCCCCTCAGCCTCTGGAGCACCTCCTGCCCCCTCAAGGTTAATCCTGAGTTCGACCAGGCAACACCAACACCCAGAACCAGGACCACGAACAACAAAAGGAAAGTGGAGGTAGCCTCCCCACATCCCGGTGGGCAAGCAAGCCGCTCACGTTGTGAGAGGCATTTAGAGCGCTTCAGGCCAGCGCGGCTTGGACTCTGAGGGGCCCTTGGTGACCTTCAACTCTGGGAGGATCACCCCGTGCTCTCCTTCAGCCCCGCCCTGGACCTCGGCAAGTTCTACCTCCCCAACCAGATACCCCGTGACCCGGCAGGATGGAGAGCTGAATGCCCGGGGTGCGGCTGAACTGAGGCGGATGCTGGGTACACACTGGACCTGCTCTCTGGGTCACATTTGCCTCCTGGGGACATGCGCCGGCTCAGCCCGGGGAAAGCACCGAGGCGGCAGCGACCCATGCTGCTCTCTGGGCCCTGGGTGCCGTGACAGCAACAGCCCCAGGACGGTGTTCTTGCCACTGATTTCCAGGTCATCCCAAAATGCTGGCTGGCTTCGCCCTCAGAGCTACCAGGCCTGCTCTCTGTCTCCTTCCATGACACAAGTCTGCCCACGGGGCACACCGCCTGACTGTCCCCCTGCCAGCCCTGCTGCCCCAGCGATGAACAAAGGTGTCTGGGAGGAGAGTGACCCCAGGCTCTGGCGCTCACGGTGTCCATGGCCCCTCTGTGGAGCAGGTGCCCACTCTGTCCACCCAGACACAGCATTCAATCCCATTTCCAGGTCCTCTCTTGCCTGCCCCCGCCCCAGGTCCATTCCCATATCCTTCCTTCCCCCACCAAAACCCTGCCCTGGGTTCTTAAGGCCGCAGAGGATCAGCCGCAGCCACATGACAATGGGAGCAACTCCCACATTGCAAACATTCTTTACTCCCGGGGAACATCCGGCGGCTCATCCATTCATTCAACATCCAACACCCGGGCCTGAACGGCCGCCCACCTCCCAGCCACAGACCTGCTTCCACTGGCGGTAGGTGGAGAACTCCTGCGAGGGGATGAAGACGCTGAGCTTGAAGATGGACTTGAGCTCCGCGGGCAGCCCCTTGGATTCAAAGTACTGGAACTCAGTCTGATCCTCCCCCATGAGCGGCACGTATAGGCACAGGCAGAGCATGGTGGCGGGGGTGGGAGCCGGGGCCAGGGGCTCAGCTGCCACCACAACTGCTGGCGGCACAGGGACTGCTGCTGGTCCCGGGAAACTCGGCTCAAGAAATGCTGGGTCCCAGCTGTCACTGGCTGCTCAGGCCCTGCCCTTTTACTTAACTGAACAAAAATCCGCCCCTGCTGAGTCCTGGCAGCAGCCAATGGGTGCCGCGGAGCAGCCGGCGGCATCGGGTTGCTCAAGTGCAGAGGGGCAAAGACCTGGGCTGACGTCATGCGCTGCCTGCAGTCCACTCCCAGAGCAGGGGCAGCTCTGCTCAAACAAACCTTCAGCTCAACAAACACGCAGCCTCAGCCTGCTTGCATGCAAGGTCCCCAAATGCGTCACACACCAACGCTGCGTCAATCATTCCCAAGAGAAACAAAGTGGACGAGACAGAGTCCATGTCTGCCGAGACAGGAGCTGAGAACCAAGTCCTGAAGACCACCTGCCGGAAGCCCAGCCACCCACAGGGGAGTCACGGGTGGCCTCAGACGTGGCCTCTCCGGCTCCCTGAGCCTCCCCTCAGATTCCTGCTGTGGAGGAACCCACGTCACCAAGCCCAGCACCTCTACTGCATTCCACTTCCTAATATAGACTGAACCTCCCTGCAGCTGTGACTGGGACGGGTAAACGTGGGTGCTGCCCACTTGGAGACCCAGTGTTAACAGGACTTCTTCATTCATGAAAAAGCTTTGTGTTAGGAATGCCAGCACCTGTATCAGACTGCCTGGTGTGAGTCCTGCCACCTCAGGAGACAGCAGGTAGTGTTTCAAGTCCCAGAGCCCCTGCCTGGCTACTGGCCTAGACAGGCCAGGCCGAGCCTCAGCTGCCATAGGCATCTAGGGAGGAAACCAGCGGATGGAAGATCTGTTTTCCTCTCCCTGTGTCACCCTACCTCTCAAACAAATAAATCTCCTAAATAAGCAGGCCAAATTTGGGCTGGCATTGTGCAAGCTAAGCCTCCACCAGTCATGCTGGCATCCCATATGGTTGCTGGTTCAAGACCTGGCAGCTCCACTTCCAATCCACTGCCCCGTTAATGCACCTGGGAAGGCAGCAGGGGATGGCCCAAGCGCTTGGGCCTCCGCACCCACACAGGGGACCCAGCAGTTCTGGCTTCCAAATGGCTCAGCCCTGGCTGTTGTGACTATTTCGGGAGTGAATCAGCAGATGGGAGATGGCACTCCGAGGAGGCTCCGAATCACCCGGGCAGATCCCTACTCAGGTTCCACCGAGTCCTGGCTGCTCAGCGTCCCCTGTGCTGCCTCCAAGAATGGCATACTATCATACCACACGCTAGTCCTTCCTGCCGGGTCCCCGCAGCTAAAGCCTGCAGCTTCAAACCTCTACGTGCCTGGCCTGCAAGGAACCTCTGGACTCAGTCACAGCAGTGCTTCCTGGCTTGGCCAGCCTGAGACCCAGGGACAACACATGTCCCCCCGAAGGTAAAGGCTATTTAAGCATTTTCACTAGGCCTGGTGTGGTAGCCTAATGGCTAAAGTCCTCACCTTGTATGCACCAGGATCCCATATGTGCACAGATTTGTGTCCTGGCAGCCCCACTTCCCATCCAGCTCCCTGATTGTGGCCTGGGAATGCAGTTGAGGACGGCCCAAAGCCTTGGGACCCTGCACCTGTGTGGGAGACCCAGAAGAAACTCCAGCCATTGTGGTCACTTAGGGAGTCAATTGATGGATGGATCTTCCTCTCTGTGTATCTGACTTTGCAATAAAAATAAATAAATCTTTTTTTTTTTATTTATTGCTGCTTACATTGTATTATGTAAAAATAAATAAATCTTAAGAAAAAAAATTTTTTTTAATGTAAGGTATTATCACTGAGAGCAATTGTTTTCTAGGAAAAACAAACAAAACCAGAACAGAATCTCCTTGATTATAACCAAGCTCATCACTCTACAAAGAACAGTGCTGGGGACAGGCCAAATTCCGAAATGTTCCACTTGGGCTTGTTGACACATTCTTTACAATGTTAAAGTTAATTCTATTCCAACATTAGTTTTGTTCTCTCTTCCCCTTTTGGTAACATTTATTTGTATTGATTGGAAAGGCAGTTACAAAGGGAGGGAAATACAGAAAGACCTCCCCCGTGGCTGGCTCCCATTTCTCAGATGGGCTACTATGGTCAGAACTGGGTCAGTCCAAAGCTAGGAGCCAGGAGCTTCCTCTAGGTCTCCCAGGCCAGTGCAGGGGTCATCTGCTTCTCCTGGTGCAACAGCAGGAAGCCAGAATGAAGTAGAGCAACCAGGACTTAAATCAGCACCCAAGTGGGATATAGCACTGCAGGCAGTGGCTTAACTCACTACCCCGCAGCACCAGACCCCTCCCCCACGCTAACTTATTTTCACCAGATAAAACAGAACTGGTATTTGCTCATTTACTGAAACACCAAACCACCATCATATTTGGAGCCACAGGTAACTCACAAAGCTATTCTCACCTAGCAGTACTGATTTATATGCTGGCTGCTCCACTTCTAATCCAGAGCCCTGCTCATGCACCCAGGAAAGCTGTCGGGGAGGGCTCAGGTGCTCGGGCCCCTGCACTCACACAGGAGACTTGGAAGAAGCTCCTGCCTCCTGGCTGTAATCTGGCCCAGCCCTGGCTTTGCAGCCATATGGGGAGTAAATCAGGAGAGGGAAAATCTCTCTCTCTCTCTCACTATCTCTGTAACTATGCCTTTTAAATAAGTAAGATAAATCCTTAAAAAAGATAAAACCTGAACCGAGTGAGATCAGCTCACTTGCCAATCGCCCTGGCCTGTGGGCAGCAGCCACGTGAATCGAAGGCCTGCGCTGGTGCTGCATTTCCGAGCGCGCCCGCGAGCCGGACACCAGCTATCTGCAAGCCTCACAGGGAAGGTGGCAGGGATGTGGGAAAGGTGTAATCTGAACCAAATCAGCTTTAGCTGTGAACAACAGGCCCTGGCTCACCATGGACGTGGGCAGCACGACCAGAAAGGACTGGGGCTCAGCTTGGGTTTCCTCCCCATGGGCTTAGGGTCCCCGGGACTTGGCACAAGGCATCATGCCATGTACACATCTTTTTTGCTCTCCTACTCGAACTCTGTGACCCAGACCAACTTTTATTCCCCCTCCTCCGACACCCATCTCTGCGATTACTATTCGGAAGCCATCACAGCCATCCTCGATCCCTCGGAACGCAGTGGCAGTTCCTCTCACGTACAGCCAGCAGCGCTTTTCCCTGCTACTCTGGTACATGCCCCAACACTGCCAAGCAGGTGTTTCCTGTGAGAGCTGGGATATCACGATACCATGAGTAAGAACGGGCAGGTACAGAGCCTTTGGGGATGTGGCA